TTTCTCTCAAGGTAGTTCTGAAATTACTTTTCCCAACTTCTCTGGAGGTAATGAAGTCTTCATTTTGGAAACATTGGCTGGGTGAGCTTGTGACTCACACCTCAGATGAATTAATAAAAGTTGAGAAAACAAAACCCAGATGTTTCCTTCATCTTATTATAGGCCTCTAAGCTTTCATGCTTTTTTTTTTCATTTATACTATCTCACTGGCTGATTTTTTTCTGTTGAGGCAAAAAATCAATTTTGACTCAGTGGGTGTGCACGCATATTTGGGGAACTGTGTCCCAACAGTTATTATTTGGCTCAGTTTTCCTCTGCAGCGAAGCTGAGGTCCCTATTGTGGTGAACTAATGGCAAGCAGTGTTTGTGGACAGCATACCCAGAGAGTTCTGGACACTAGATTGGCTTTGCTATTTGCATTTGGACAAAAAGCAAGAAGCCCAAGCAGTCTCTCTGCTTGCACATAAAGCTCCACAGAACCGAAAGTGTCTGGCCAACTAACCGTGGCTTCCTTTCCACATCCAAGATTCATTCCTGGCCCTGAACCCTCTTGGAAAATGCTAACAACAGCAGTTTCAAAAGCCCACGACATATATTTTCAGTCTTCTGTCCAGACTAGTGTGACTATAGAGAAATCCAGAATGACTCACTTACGAAGTTTCCTAATAACACCACCAATCAAACCCTGAGAATTTCTGAAGTGATCTGCTTTCTCTAATGAGGTCAAATAATTAACTTTTCCCTTCCTTCCACTGTGTTGGAAAAAGCAAGTATTTTCCTCAGACACCATCCCAAAGCCAAAAGCTCCAGAGTTTGCTAGGTTGAGATGGGAGAAAGGAGCTTGAATCCCCCGTCTCTTCTAAACTTACATCCTTTCCCAACCTGCTCTTTGGGGTCCACAGTCCCCTTCACCCACTCCTCTTTCCCTACTTGGGCTCCATCCTCCCTTACCTAAGTGATGCAGAAGCAGAGAGCAGCCCTGTTCAGATGAAGCATAATCGCAATGCTCTTACCGAGTAGGCTGCATCCTCCTTTAGAATGGAACCATGCTTCGGATCGGCATAGCATCGACCGTTGCGCTCACTTGGGGAGTGAATCATCGGTCGGAAGAGTCTCTCCTCTCTGTATATCCGCCTTTCCAATAAAAATAAAATAAATCTTAAAAAAAAAAAAAAGAATGGAACTATGTTTACATTTCTTCCTTGTCTATAGTTAACTCTGAATCTCTAGTGTTGGCTCAGAACTCAGTCAGGTGAGGTGCTCAAGTGTGTGTTGCCAGGACGTTAGCAAGGAGAATATTGGTTGGCGGGCCAGATTATTTAAATACAAACCACCTGAATCCCCTTCCAAAACGAACCTGTTGAGTTTCAAACAATTTAACCAATTGTCACACAGTCAGTGGGCCCAATTGCCATTACCTTACTTTCTTGCCTTAAACCAGCAACTTTCATTTTTGACAGATGTCTTTTAAAATTTTCAGTTGAATAAACAGCTCACATGCTTTTTGCATAGTTCACATGGGAAAACATCTGTATGGGAAATTCAAGTGAGCAACAAAAATCATGCAATAAAAGCCTCATGTCTCCCAATGAAACCAAAAACTGAATAGATCTCAAGCAATTTTTGTAGCATTAGTATTTAAACACACAGTGAACCACTTCAGTTCCAACAAATCTGGAGAAATCAAACCTTGTTTCCAAGAAGTACTCACAGGAGTTTTCAATGCATTTTCCCATCATTGAAAAAGAAGTAACTTGCACAACTAAGCTGCCTCTCTTTACTGGGGTGCAGTGCCCACTAGGCAACACTGAATGGAAAATGAACAGATGTGGTGTCAAACTGGGAACTGGAGGATGGGACTCCCCAGGCTCCATTGGATCGTGAAGGCCAGGACAACAATTGCATGGTGGGTTCCTGGTAAGGGAGAGAGGCTCCTTCACTCAGCAAAACTGGCCGGATATGGTCAGGTCTCACAGAGTTCAGACTCCAGCAAATGACAGCCTAGACCAAGCCAGTTCGGAGTTGAGTCCTCATCCTGGCAACTACTTGGGACATTTCCAGCTTGCTGGCCAGGAGAGTCTGAAGGGAAGCAGCAACAAGGAGCTACATGGTCTACAGAGCTTTCCATATTCGATTTGAATAGCACCTCATCAACAAAACCATGGAGTCCTCAGCCTCGGCTTCAAGAGCTCTCCGAATTCCAGCCAAAATGTCTCAATATACATCACTTCATCTGATTGCCCTAACACGCCTGGCAGAGCTACTTGGGACTCAATTCATAATCCAGTACCAACCACAGTGCCTGGCACAAGATAAAAGCTCAAAAAATGCTCACAGGATCTTTAAACTGTCATCATTTAAAGCGGAAAAAATGGGCTTGAAGAGGTTTGAGTGGTTTCTCCCAATGTCCAGTGGCGGGCAGGGCTGGGGCTCTGGTCTCCTCACTGTTAGCCTGTTGCCTCTCCCATTCTGTTGTACTGGCCTTCACAATCCAACGGAGTCAAGGTCAGGGCATTTTGCTGCTTGTCAACAAACTGTTTGAGCATCTAGCTTAAATCAGAGCTTTCCGCCACTCTCCCTGGTTTCAGTCAAGCTTTTAAGGCTTGATTTTAATGATGCCTCACAAGCAAAGTCTGCTAACAATTCCTCTCACCTGCACCTAGCCTCTTCACACCCATCACCCTCTGTCACATTTCCTATTTGCCACTCATCCAACCTTCAGTTATCTGATGTTTCATGATCTACCTTCCCCAGCTACAGTGTAAACTCCATAATGGCAAGGTGCTAACCCAGGTTTCTTTGACAGCCTACTTTAAGATGAGAGTGTGGGGGACCAGTGTGATGGCTCAACTGATTATTACTCCTCTACCTGCAAGCATTAGCATCCTTTATAGGCACTAGTTCACATCCTAGTGCTCCACTTGTGATCCAGTGTCCTGCTTGTGGCCTGGGAAACAGAATATGGCCCAAAGCCTTGGGACCCTGCACCCATGGGGGAGACCCATAAAAGGCTCCGGGTTTCCAACTCCTGGCTTCAGATTGGCTCAGCTCTGACTGTTGCGGCCACTTGGGCAGTGAACCAGTAGATGGAAAATCCATAGATCTGCCTTTCCAATAAAAATAAGTAAGTCTAAAAAAATGATGAGGGTGTGTTATAACCCAGTGTGATCTCAAGCATATTTAATAAAGCCTTTAGAACAATGAATTTCTAGGTATCCAGAGGATAGAAAAAGAGATAGGGTTGTATGGCCTAGAAACAGAACTCAGAAAATGCGCATTCAAGCTCCTCCTTTCAAGTACTTGAATTTCAGGCAGTAAACAGAATGGAGGAGAGATTTACCCAGGAGATGCAAAGAATGGTGGGGTGTGTGTGGTGGGGGGACAGAGGGAGGGAGGAGCTGCAAGGAGTGGATAGCCAGTAGGCTATCACAAATCAGCCTTGTAGGTATGATCCCTTACCCCCAAGATAGCTGTATCTCTGATAGAAAACTCCATTAGCGCTGAGACTGCTTCGGGTGCTTATTTTAGTTCCATTCTGTAGATACAAAGATACTGCTCAGATTATCTCCCCAATGAAATTGGACAGCTAATGGGAAGGCTCAGCAAGTTCAAGAAACTGGCCAACACTGCACACTATGTCAGTAGCAGAGCTTGGGTTTGAACCCAGGTCTAACTCCAAAGCCTGGGCTTCTTGTACCACACGTGTGTGACTATGTGGCCACTTTGTCAGGATCACAAATTGCCTTGCAACACAGATGCTTTGGTGAAAATATTGAGAGGCTAATTATGAAGGAATGGTACTAGCTAAGCTGCGTCACCCATGCGTTCGATGAGACACAGGATAGCCCTTTGCTAAGCATGCAACAACCCTCCCAATCAGGAGAATTCGTGTCTGGCAGCTAGTGATGGAGGTGGGGCAGAGCTGAGATTCCGTGCCCTGCCTTGGCCTGATAGCAGGTTGTGCCTACAGGCTACAGTTCTACAACTGCTTCAATCCTTCTGATTACACTCAAGGTAGATTAGACACAACCACTAGGGTGGTGCTTAAGAATTTTGACTTTGTAGTCAGACTGGTTTGAGTCCTGGCTCTGGCCACTTCCTTGCTTTCTGAAAATTTCTCTATAGCTCAACTTCCTCATTTCTGAAATGAGGCTAATACTAGAATGTGCTATCATAGCAAATTAATATAAAACTGGAGGTAAAAAACATACCCGTATATACACTACCTATACATAAAAGTAGCTCAACAAAATAGGGAGTTGCTATCATTTCAACTTTCAACCCTCATACTGCACCACTCATGATGTAGTTCCTGTGGGTGACATCCTGATTAAGTCAAATATCTATACTCTCATGGCCTTTGGGTCCTGCACTGGGTCAGGTTAATAAATGCACCCTGTCAAATTTGATGTAGCGAATTAGGAAACTCAGATTGGCTCGAACAAACAATCTGTTATAATTAGGCCCCCATTCATGTCTCCCAGTAGGCCATAAGCAAGGAAGTTGGAGTGGACAACATAACAAGTACTCTGCCATTGTCAGGCTAGACAAAGTTGCTACCAGTGCACTCTAATGTACAAAATTCCTCATCTAGAAAGAGATGCTTTAACTAGGAGGGACTATTTACATGGTCATGCTTTCAGCCAACTTGCAATAGCCCTTCTACCCAAGTGGATACAAAATTTACTCTCATCATGTAATGGAATGAACATTTTCATGACTTTCTCCATTACTGAACTAACAGGCTACAAATCAATGTAATATAATTCACTACTTTGACTAGTATTTCTTAAATGGCCCAGTTGTGACTGTAAGCAAATATGTCCACCCCTTACACATAAGCACCAAAAATTTGCCACCCCATAAGTTCTGTTAGCTTGCTTTGTTTTTTGCAAAGTATCAGTACTCTCCATTTTCAAACAGGTCTATAGGTAGAAAAATAAATGAAGTCAGCACACTTTACATCTCACTTTAGTAAACTGTGACTCAAACACAGTGAGTGGTTATTTGCAAGGCTATAATTTTTTTTTAATGACAGATTTTTCCTAAAAGAAACCACTATAACAGCTGTCCAAGTACTCCAAGGGAAAACAAAAAAAAAATTACAGAAAGATTAGAACTCTATTATTTTTAACAGCACATTACCAAACACAGACAACTAGAATTAATGCCAGGAAACCTTAAAAAATAACTTTAAAAGATGCAACGTTCAAGTCATTCAAACGTTTAGGTTTCACGAAAAACAGAAAAACAGGTCCAAGAGCAGTTCTACTTGCACAATGGCAACTCGGACTGTACTTCATCGAGGTTCGTTCCGATGTCCAAAACCAGCATGGGTCTGAGCCGAGATGGCTTTCCTCTTCTTTGCTTGGAGATGCATGTACACAGGTTAGAGGAGAAAAAAGAATCCTTCAGATGCTGATGGAAGCACAGCAGACTCGGTTCCCCGTTGATAAAGTATGAAGGCAGATTTCATTGACTCAAGCTTTATCAGTTTCCCTACTGAAAAGTCTTACGCATGCTCAAACAGACGAGTTACTGAATTTGTCATGCTAAGTATTTACAGCCATTTTCATAAAGTGAGCTGAGTAACTTGACAGAATAAAAAACAAGTAGTTGTTAAATTATTATGTATCCTTTTACATCTTGGCTAATATCACGGATAAATGACGCTGACAATCGAGGCCCCTCAAGCATACATTAACAAGAAATTATTTACTGCATGAAGAGGCACACATTATATAAAATGTACACTTCACAGGAGGGATTCCTGCATGGCAGGAAACTCGCTACCACTACGTAACAAATGGGTATGCCAACAGTCAAGGTTGCCACTAAAGGGTACAACAGAATTCCCTTAAAATCTCAAGGAGTGTTTGCAGTAGCACAGATATATTTTGCAAATAAGTACATGTTTTCTTAGGAAATATTATTTTTTCTGCGGAAAATGTGGACATCATATAAATAAATCAGTTTCCTGACTGGCTAAGCTTTAAGGCCATGCTTCACAGGCCTGAGTGGAGAACATCCACCAGAGCTTCTAGCAGGTCAGAAGCAGTCTCCAAACACAGTTCCCCTTCTAAGTTCGCACTGCACTTTTGGGTGTTCAGGCATTAAAAAAGAGTCCACTTTCACACCCTGAATGCAAAATGGGAAACATTTCTGTGCTCTTTCTTGAAAACTGTTGACAAAACAAAGATGTGGCAGCTGAGATACGAAAAACAGCATGAAGAGGAAGACGACTATACCTGTGACACAGAAAGGAGCCATCTTTGAGAGACACTACAGAGTGCCAGCATTCGCTTCATGGCTGACTTTGGCATAGTGTGGAAGGATCGTGAATTCATAAATTAAGTTTTAACATCAACTACAGACTAACAAATGACAATTAGACACACTAAGTTCAAAAATTTTACATTTTTGCTCCTGTATGGCTGCTAAAGAGCAGCGATTTAAGTTGATATAAAAACGTCTGACAACAAAGCTTGCTATACAGATAAAGTACATAATTAAAAATTAAGCAGCAATTAACTTTCTTGTTTAAATTTAACTTGTATAGAATATTTACACATTTGGGAAGAGAGATCTCTGAAATCCCCGTTCTCTTTATTCCTGTCTTGCCCCCTGCCAGTCCCAGGCCCTCAAAGTCTCAATCAAATGCCCTGAACTCTATACAACTGTACTTTGGCTTAAGCCAGCTGGCTGCAATTCCCATGTGTTGGTCTGTAAGAAAATAAGGTCTCTAAAGTCATCCTCAGCCTCCTTTTCCTGCACAGCGAATCTGTTCTTTCACAGCAAGTGGGAGAAGGCCCCTACACCTCCCTCCCCAGTCTGAATGGGGCAAGATCAATGCACCACAAACTCCTTGCACCAGGGGAAAGGGGGAAAAAGCTGTAATAAAGGCAGCAGCAATGAACAAAACTTTCCCCATCAAGAACCTCTCCCCTCCTGCACTCTCTAGAAACTTACATTCCCTCTTCCCTGTCCCTCCTCCACCACACACTCACAAAATTAATTGACATCACAAGAACTTGGTACTCTGGTTAATTGTCAGGTAAATGTAAGAAAGAGTAATTGTGTCACATTTTATAGCTTGAGACAGAAAGCTAACCAAACATACACATTCAATGAAAGTAACTTTCTAAAATAGATCCAGACTACACATTACACAGCCAGGAAAACAAAGAATGCATTGTTCACAGACTGCCTTGTACAGGATAGTTATATTCTTTCTAGGCCATATAAATAGTATTTATGAGCGGACACATTCAGAGACATGCACTGGGACTTTTAGGTAGTACAAATTTCTTCACAATCACATGTGCAAATTGTATAAATCACTAAGTGAGGCTTAATAAGATTAGGCTGGGCCGTGTCTTGTATTATCTAGCAAATTTAATGGGGGTTCAGAATCATCCATAGGCAGAACCAGGCGTGTTCCACGGATGACCAGTTCATGATCCCCAAATGCAAGCTCCCGATCCAGGGCATCTTCAGAACTGTTTCCCATAAATCTTCGAGGGGCACTGGATGCTGCGGATTCAGTGTTCACTGTAGAATCGCCGTATGTCAAACTGATATCGCCATCATTAAGGATGAGATCAGAGTCATCATCTTTCAACTGTTCTTGGTTCTAAATACAAAGGAAATAAGGTTTAACAATTGTTACGAATTTTAAGAAACATTTCCAACAGGAGACTCTCAGAAGATTTCCTATTCAGAATCCTTCAGTGGTAGTCAACTGCCTTCAGGTTAGTCTAAGGACTTTACCTTGGCTTAAAAGACCCAGGTGATGTGGCCTCTTCAGCTCTATCTTCTGCCAAAATTTGCATATCCCACCCCCAAAACTCTGCCAGCCAAACTGAAGTGATGACAGTTGCCTGGCTTTCTCCTGCTTTATTTGAGTGCCAGGCTGCTCTACATGCTGTGGTTTTGACCCCTTGCACATGACTAGCACCTAGGTTAAGCGGCCTTTGTATGTGCTCTGGCAGCATCCCATGCCGGGCCCTCTTTCCTGAAGTAGCACTTACAACCTATGTCTTGTGCATGGTTTGCCATGAAGGGGCTTAGTCTTAGTGGAGGGGAATGGGAAGAGAAGACCAAGAAATAAATAGGTATGATACAATCCTAAGTCGAAGCATGTAACAGAATTTAGGGTACAGAAAAATACATAGAACCCTCACTGGATGAAGTCCACCAGCACAGTGAATTAAGCTGTTACATGCAGTGCTAGCACCCACTGGTGTGGCATGTAAAATCTGTTCTACTTCTGATCCAGCTCTCTGCTCATGGCCCTGGAAAGCAGCACAGGACGGCTCAAGTCTTTGGGCCCCTGCACCACATGGGAGACCTGGTAAAGGCTCCTGGTTCCTAGGAGGTTGGGGATTGGCCCAACTGCAGCCATTGTGGCTATTTGGGGAGTGGAACAGCAGATGGAAAATTCTCTCTCCTCCACTCTGTAAACTGTGTTTCAAATCAAAAATCTTTTTTTAAAAAATAAACGCTTAAAAATATAAAAATTAAGTTTAATGGCTGTTATAAGTCACACCTTGCCCCGCAACTGCCAGAATATGTGAATGTGACCCTGTTTAGAATCAGGTTAGCCATGATCTTGTAAGACTGATATGCTAATGGGAAGAGAAAATTTGGACCCAGAAAGAGAGAACAACTTGTGAAGAGACCAGGTGTTGCGTAAGTCAAGGAATGCCAAAGATGGCCTGGAATGCCCAGAAGCTGGGGAGCATCCCAGAGCAAATTCTCGGTTATAGCCCTAGAAGGAACCAATCCTTCTAACACCCTGACCTTGGACTTTCAACCTTAAGAACCATTTAAAATTTCTTCTGTTGTTTAAGTAATTCAATTCATGGCATAGATTGGGATAAAAAAAATCTTTCAGTTTGATTTGTTTTTCAAATTTTGGGATCCTGTCATATCCATAATAAGCCAGAACCCAAGGCTACAGACAAAATTACATTTCATATATACACATACTCTGAAGCTAACTTTATATAATATTTTTACCGGGCCTGTGTTTTGACTGTAACCCATTACAGGAGGACAAGGGCAGAATCATGTACTTCTGGCTTCACAGTGGTGCTCAGAAAGCTTTTAGATTTTAAATTTCAGATTTTTTTTTATTAGAGATGGTCAACATGTACTTCCTAAGAACAGTGCTAGGGAACTCTAAAAGTGCCATATGTCACATGCCGCTGTATTCCTTGGACACACAACTGTTGTGCACTTCATTTGGCTTTTGGTAATGGCAAGCAAGTCTATGTAATCCCCAAGGCAAGTCTCACTGCCAGGAACAACAGAGGCAGGTGGGCCCTCTGCTGAGGGTCACATGGGCTGAGACAGCACAGCTGTCTTGCAGACATTGCTTGAGAAAGGAACCTGGACAAAGTAGGGAGGGCTCAGGCAATAAGTGGTGTTTACACCCAACCAGCACATCCGTACACTGATTCAACATGGGACTCCTCCCTGGCCCAGCTGCCATCCCTAATCAGTCTACTTATTCCTATGCATTGCCTGTAGGATCTGCCCGAATGTGTCCTGAAGGAGGTCACAGGAATGGGAGACACAGACCTACAATGTCCACTGTACTCCCCCTCCACTACCCCACCATTCGAGGTTCTGATTGTTGTACCTGCAAAATCAGAACCGGCAGGCTTTGTGAAGCAGAGCCTGCTCCACATCTAGAACATCTCTAAGGGTCCATTCAGATGCAAAGGATTTTTTTCTAAAGAGCTTTAAAAATTAAAATTAAAATGTTCACAGCTAAAAACAAAGACTGGTTAGCATGTCATTTTTTTCTTACTTGAAATACTGAATCACTAATCCTGTGTTGGTAGCTAAGGATAAATTATGGAATCTAGATTCTCTAGATACACTTGTGTCTCAGCCATGTGCAGGGGCTGCTGATACATTTCCCCTAAGATCTAAATGTTGGGAGGTATAATACATCACTTGTTGCACTTTCAGAGTGTCAAGCATTCTTTTGCCACATCCTGACTGTCGCTGGGATGATCCACAATTATAGATGAAAATACATACATTCTGTACCGAATTCAGGTCATATACTGGAAACAAACGGAAGTCAGCTTGGGGGCACAGTGACTTAACTGCAATCCCCTAAAGGATGACGAGGTGCTCTCCTGCATCTGGTATCAGCAGTCTCCAAGGCTGTGCACTACACTGAGACTGCAGTGTACTTCCTGGTTAAGCATGCATAAATCCCCTTTCATGAATACTGTACCTCAAAGGCAAGCAATTAAATCAAATTAAAATAAAATCAATAACCCATGCACAGAACCCAGATAGACATCTTACTGAGGGATTACTTAATTTGTGGATAAAATCAACTTACTTCGTAAGCCTGGGGGCTGGTCAGGCACCTGGCAATGGGTCCACAGCAGGCTGGCAGTGTGGTGGTGAGCGGAGGGCCACTGTGGGTCAGCAGAGGTTTCAGGTAACTGCGCTGGTTAAGGAAAGGCTGTATTCTTTTGTTCACAAATTTCCCACCATGAGGGAAACAGGGATCGATCCACTAACCAAGACTGCTTTCATTTCACATCTTAGGCCTTTTCAACCAGTATATCGTACTGGTTTTCTGGTTTCGCTACAAGTACAGTGAACACAATTGAAATCGAGGCATCTCTAGCACTTTGGGAGATAAGAAAGATAACAGCTGGAAAGCAGATTAAATATTACAGTAGAATATAATAATATAAATGCTTTAATAATTTACTGTGGATTCACCTGGCCTCTTGAATGCTATGAGTTAAAGCTCAGCATCAAGTTGGTTCTTCTCCTATAAGGCTATAAGGAAGAAAACAAAGTTGATGCCTGACCTTTTTAAAAAAAGAAACCACCTGAATGAAGAGCTCCTCTATCATAGAACCTCATTTCAATATTCATTTGTTTTCTAAAACATAAAAACAGATGTGATAACACATGATACACAGGAGAGAAAGGCAGGACTTACGAGAGAAAAGAGGCACTCACAAGAAAAAGGAGACAGGGAACAAAAGACACATATGCCACTGCTGTCACTTTCTAAAAGGAGACTCTAAGGTTGTTCTCAATTTAAATTAAGGAAGTCAGAGAAAATCTCATGCATTCCCATAGCAATGAATCCTAACTAAACATTAAAGCACTCCATGAAAACACTTTATAACTAATCACTCAGTCACTGAAAAACTGGAATGTTAAATTCTATTGCGAATCAAATACAGAAATTACCAAGTCTTAATCGTGTCATACTATAAACAGCTGTCTGACTCTACAAGAACAAATTCCTCAGAAATAACTTACCAAATATTAGCAAAGAGAAAAAAAGAAAATCTGAATAATTCTCTATTTTAAAAAGTTTTAAAATCTTTTCAAGTAAATAGCTCCATGACCAGGTGGCTTTACTGGGAAAATTTTACCAGCCTTTAGAAATACGTAACATCAATCGCTTCTCAGCCTTTTGGCTAAGATCAAGGGTAGAAATAAATAACATCAGCCTAATGGTAGCCTACTGGCTAAAGTCCTTGCCTTGTACGTGCCTAGATCCCACATGGAGGGCTGGGTCGTGTCCCAGCAGCCCCACTTCCCATCCAGCTCCCTGCTTTGTGGCCTGGGAAAGCAGTCCAGGATGGCCCAAAGCCTTGAGACTGCACCCACACGGGAGACCCAGAAGCAGCTTCTGGCTCCAGATCGGCTCAGCTTCGGCTGATTTGGCGGCTTGGGGAGTGAATCTATGGATGGATGATCTTCCTCTCTGTCTCCCTTCTTCTCTATATATCTGATTTTCCAATAAAAAAGGAAATAACATCTATTATATGTGTGTGTATGTGTTTATGTGTGTGTGTATTCAGAGAGAGAGAGAGAGAGAGAGCAGAAACAGAATAATTCCCTACTAATTTTACAAGGCCATAATAATCTTGTTATAGAAACTTGACAAGCATTACAGCAAAAGATTACAAGCCAACAACTCTCATGAAAACAGAAGCAAAAGTCAAATACAACATATTAGCAAATTAAATCCAATGACATATACAAGACATAACACATCATGACCAAACATAATTTGTTCTAGCAATACAAGACTGGTTTAAGAATCAATGAAATCAACGTAACACATTGTAGGGGGAAAAGCTGTATTCACCTCAATTGATGCAGAAAAATGTCTGACAATATTCTATGCCTGTTCATGATAAAAAAAAAAAAATCCTAAGTAGGTCAGAAACAGAGGGAAACACTTTTTTTTAAAAGATTGATTTATTTCTATATGAAAGACAGAGTTACACAGAGCAGAAGAGAGACACATAAAGATCTTCCATGTGCTGGTTTACTTCCCAAATGGCCACAGCAGCTGGTGGTGGGCCACTCCAAAGCCAAGAGCCAGAAGCCTCTTCTGGATCTCCCTCATGGGTGCAGGTGCCTAAGCACTGCAGTCATTCTCTCCTGCTTTGAAGCTGGTACTCAAACCAGCACCCATTATGGTTGCTGCTGCTGCTGCAGGTCCAGGCAACCAGCGCCAACCACTGAAGGTATCTTTATTAAGATACCTCCAAAATGGCAAAGTTAACATCACATTTAATGGTTAAATGCTAAAAAAATTTCCATCACTTATATTCACCTGTTACACCGGAGACATTCAGCTGGTATAATAAAACAAAACAAAACAAAACAAAACAAAAAAAAGAAATGAAAAACGAACGCAAGGGATTAGAAACAAAAAATAAAACATGGTTATCTATAAGTCACATGAGTACATAGGTGTGAATGCATGTGTGTATATACATATTTATATATATATATGAAATCAGAAAAAGATCTGCAATCTATTAGAAATAGTAAGTGAGGGGTTGGCATTATGGCACAGGAGGTTAAGCCATCTATAACACTGGCATCTTATGTGAACACCAGTTCAAGTCCCAGAAGCTCCACCTGGGAAAGTAGTGAAAGACATCACAAGTACTTGAGCCTCTGTCATACATGCGGGAGATGCAAGCCCTGCTCCTGAGCCTGGCCTCCAGATGAAGCACGTCCTGGAAGGCAGCAGATAATGGCTCTGACAATGCACAAGACTTGGACTGGGTTCTGGCTTGCGATTTCAAGCTGAACTAGCCCCAGCTGCTATGGGCATTTTGGGAGTCAAACAGCAGATTAAAGATGTTGTTATGTCTGCCTCTGTCCCTCTGCTTCCAAATAAATAAAAACAGTAACAATTAAATGAGTAAACAAATATAATTTTCAAACACATCAAAAACATTAAATACTGTGATAAGCATTGTGGTCCAGTGCTGCAGCTTGGGACAGCCACACCCCACATTCTAAGAATGCTGGTTTGTGTCCCAGGTATTTTGCTGCGGATCCAGCTTCTTGCTGGGAAAGCATCACATGACAGCCCAAGTTCTTGGGTTCCCGCCATCCACATGGGAGACCCAGATGGAGTTTCAGGCTCCTGGCTTTGGCCTGGTCCAGCCCCAACCCCACCCAGAGCAGGCATCTGAGGAATGAGTAAGTGGGATAAAAAATCTTGCTGCCTGTCCCTTCTCTCTGTCTCTCTGCCTTTCAAATAAATTCATACATAAATAAATAGTTTTTGAGAAACATCAAATAAAAATATAAATAAAGATGTATAATACATGAATAGTAAAAAAGGACAAGACTTAAATGAGATATTTATGATATGTTTATGGATTGAAAGTATCAACATTATTTCTCTCCAAATGGACTTAATGCAACACAAAGAAAACTGTTGGTGGCTTATGTGTGTGTATATAAATTGAAAAACAGTTTTTAAAATTTGTTAATACAAAAAATTTAAAATAGCCAACACAACACTAAACAAACCAAGAAAAACAGCCCTACTATTCTGAATACCAAAATGTCTACAAAATATACTAAAATAGAGAGTCTAGAAACTGACACCCACCTATGCAGCCAACTGATTTAAAACAATCATCCCACTACAATCCACTGGCATAAGAATGGCATTTTCAATCAAAGGCACTGTGTCAATCAGATATTCATAAGTCAGAAAGAAGCCCCTGACCCATATTGCATATCATATATAAAAATTAGTTTGGAATAGATCTAAGATACAACAAATGTGATAGCTAGAACAATCAAACTTCTGGAAGAAAATATAAGAAAAATACCTTCATGACACTGGGATGTACAAGATTTTCTGAAACAGAGAAGACACTAATCATAAAAGATAAGCAAGATGAAATTTATTACAATGAAGTTTATTTCTCAAGTAAAGACTGAGAAGATGAAAAAGCAAGATAGACTAAGAGAAGATAAATTTTCTGGCAATAATTTAACTCAAGGACAGTGTATAAAAGGAACCATAAATTAATAATAAAAAAGCAACTTAGTTTAATAACAAAAACATCACTCTTTACAAACTGAATATCCATACAATCAAAATCATATAAAAATTCATACGAGAACTGGCTAATCCTCCACCTCCAAGTGCTGGGATTCCATATGGATGCCAGTTCATGTCCTGGCTGCTCCACTTCTCATCCTGCTCGTTGCTTGTGGCCTGGGAAAGCAGTGCAGGATGGCCCAAAGCCTTGGGACCCTGCACCCGCGTAGGAGACCTGAAAGAAACTCCTGGCTCTGGCTTTAGGTCGGCTCAGCTTCAGGCCTTGCAGCCACTTGGGGAGTGAGCCAGCAGACAGAAGACCTTTCTCTCTGTCTCTCCTTCTCTCCATAAATAGGCCTTTCCAAAATTAAACAGACACACAAACATTAAAAAGAAAAAAAAAAAAAGAGTGCCTGAACTTAACTTCAAAATGCTGCCAAATATCAACTTTTGGTAGAGATGAGGAAGGAATATCCAGAACTCCCTGACCTTGTTGATGGGGGTGATGATGAATTCACTAAATTGGCTGCAACCAGTCAAACTGGTGACAATTACTCTGGATATCTCCTTGGCAATATCTATGAAACCTAAACATACACTTGCCCTAAATTATATTCCTTGGTATATATGCAAGAGACATAACCTATGTCCACAAAAAGACACATAAGCGCATAAGCTTATGTACACAGAAAGACAAAAGACATGTACATGTTTGCATGCTTGCAATAAGGATAAATCACACGGAATATGCTTAATGATAGAAGATACAAAAATTATGTAAGGGATGGGCATTGTGGTAGAGCAGGTTAAGCTACCACTTGGGATAGTTCAGGTGCTGAAGTCCTGGCTATTCTGCTTCTAATTCAGCTCCTTGCTAATGTGCCAGGGAAGGCAATAACGATGATCCAAACACTACGACCCCTGCAATCCACATACGAGATCCAGGCTCCTGGCTTCAGCTTTGTCCAGTTCCAGCTGTTGCAGGTATTTGGGAAAAAACAGACAAAAAATAGCAGATAGAACGTCTCTCTCTCTGCCTCTCCTTCTCTCTGCATCTTTCCATCACTCTGCCTTTCACATAAATAATTGTTTTTGAAGAAAATAATTCAAATAATTCCATATGCATGACGATTCAAAACAGGTGAAACTAATCCACGCTGGCAGACAGGAAAGGCATGACTGACACCAAGGACCTCAGGGCACCTTCTTTGACGCTGGAAATGTTTGTACATATTTTGCTATGGGTGCCACACACCCAGGCGTAGACATTGGTCAATATTTACTAAGCTGCACACTTAAGATTCATGTACTTTATTATAATATCAGCTACTGTGGCTCTGCAATATCACAGGGTAAAGGTATAGCTCTGACTCTTGCAGTACCTCACAGTGCTGCATTTCTATTTTACTTGGCAGCTTTCCCCTAAGGGAGCCTTTCCTCATTCACCCTAGCTAGTACACCACCAAGAACCAATAAGTACCTTCAGAATGAGTCACTACATTAACCAAAGGCCAATACACATTAACATTTGCTCAATAAATACACCCAGATAGCAAAGAAAGCACGTCATGCAGCCTTTGGATTCCCTCCACACAGACAGCTTTTGTACTAACCAGTCTCCACCGACCTGGGTTTGCACGGCATTTATTTCTATGGGCTTCCTTCTCTACTACATTGCCAGAGAAAAGGAAGACTGAATGTAGGTTTTGTATTGGACTTCAAGAAAACAATGGCAAAAATGGTTGCTTACTAAAGTGCAGTTACCCATGTTCAAATTAGAATTCTTTCCATTTTTTTTCTCAACTAAGGATACTTGTGATCAAAGTTGTACCATATCCGGAAGAGCCAAGCACTCTCAGCCTTGGTAGTTCTCCTTTCACTTTCAGGAACACCCTGCAGACAGGTAATGCATAAATCAATATATACACAAAGATTCAACCACAGTTATTTAAAATCATCAGAAATAGAATTCTCTCCAATGCTGGCAATATTAGAAATATAATAGCATGCATATTTTAGCTTTGAAATAATACAATGCAATGTTCTTCTGAATACCTCTATTACTGAGGTTGCTTGCTAATTTATGACTCTATTGTCATTTTAACAAATCTGCATGTAGGACCCTGGACTGCAATACTGCCAGCGTTTTATATGGGCATGGGTTTGAGTCCTGGCTGCTTCATTTCCAATCCAAGTCTGTGCTAATGTGCCTTGGAAAGCAGCAGAGGATGGTCCAAATGCCTGTACCCCACATCTATGCAAGAGTCCTGGAGGCAAGCCCTGGCTCCTAGCATTGGGGAGTGAACCAGCTGACACAAAACCTCTGTTTCATTTGTTTTCTTCCTTCTCTCTCGCTCTCTCCTGCTCTTGCTCTGTGTGTATGTGTGTGTGTGTCTTTCTCTGACTCTGCCTTTTAAATAAATCTTTTATTTATTTGTTTGAGAGAGTCAGAGAAAGAGAGACACAGAGGTCTTTTACTCTGCAGATGGCTGCATGGGCCAGAGCTGAGCCAATATAAAGCAGGAATCAGAAGCTTCTTCCCTATGGGTGCAGGGGCCATCCTCTACTGCTTTCCCACCAGCAGGGAACAGGAGCAGAGTGCAGCAGTTGGGACTAGAACCCCACATCTGTATGAGATGCTGGTGCCCCCAGTGCAGGCTTAGTACACTATACCACAACCAGTCCCAAATAAAATAAATCTTAAAAAATAAATAAGAAAATTTGTAGCAATTCACCTCTGCTATCAGAACTAGTTCCTTCATGAACTTTAAGCAGTTGGTGTTTTCAACGTAACTACAATGTTCTTACAAAACTTAGAAAAGGAAAGCAAAGTAGGAAAATTCATAGTAAGGCTGTCTGTCTAGAGGGGAAAGCAAACACAGCAAACATTATCTTCTAAAATAACTTCCAGAAGTGAAGCTATTTCTTGAGTTGTAATGTGGTACAGTCGGTAATTCCACATCCAATCTCAGCTCAGTAACAATAGTTTGGGCACATCCCTTTCCCTCTCTGGACCCAAATTTCTTCATGTATAAACTTGAAGTTCAGAGACTCATCAAGGCCATCTCTGGCACTGGTCTCCTATGGTTCCATGAACAGATTCAGATAATGGACTTGGCTCCTTCCTGTCCGTCCTAGTTCTCAAAAACTTAAACGACTCTCCTTCAACTAGTATCAACACACAGGCAACAGAAAAATCTCTGGGAGAACTATACGGGCTTACAGGAGCAGAAGAACAGCTAGACCGCTGAATTTCTCTCACCATCAGGAGTAATCTGTGTTTCTCCCCTTTCAGAAGAGCAATTCATTTTTAGCTCTCTCACCATGGTCTCAATACATGCACACCTTACATCCATCCCCACACACCTCTATGTACTATGATATTCCTTTGTGTTTCCTAGTGAACATGCAAAATTATTTTGTAAACAACATAGCCAAGACACTATAAATAATTCTGCGGGTGAGGGGAAAAGGCATGTTTTCCTGTATGTCACAACCAGTACCCATGTACTTGGCTCTCTCCCTGTCCCTCCATTTCTCCCCTGTGGGGACAGAGGTAATACAGCTGGCAGTTTTTATATAGCTCTTGAGAATTCTGTCTTAATTTCATTCTTGTAATAGTAAAGGGGTAGAGGAGGCACAAGAAGCTATTCTTTGGATACCAACCATGTGGCATGGCACGGCACGATGGGAATTTACTCAGCCTGCTTCATGCAAGCATATCAAGCCCATAAAATTGTACTGTAAGGTTCTGACCACAAAAGAGGCATGTACTTACTATATCACATTGACACATACCCCCTCGTCACTCAACAGCTGAGAAAATTAGCACTTAGGAAATGAACCTGATAAGCTTATTTTTAAACTACACCCATAAAACAAATATACCAGGGCTTGTTTCAGTCAAGACAATGGATCGCATTTGGAAAAGGACACTTCTGTTTTCAAAAAGCTAATCTATGTGATTTCTCATCTAACATGTATTCAGTGGGGCTCAGAAGGCAGCAAAAAAGTGGATGGAAAATACCAGAGAAGAGTTGTCAGCTCAGCGGCAGCTAGTTACCCTGGAGTCAGACCAACAGGCTGAGGTTCACTGAGAAACTGACACGCAGAGGGAAGGAAGCAAGGCAATGCAGCCAATGCTGAGGCACAGAGTGACAAGGTTCCCCGTACAGACAGGGAAGCCTGGGTCAAGCTTCTAGGCAGTTCTCAAGGGCAGTGGCTAGAACAGCAGCTGGAATGAGGCTTACACCAGAGACGAGGCTTCAAGCACAAACCAGAGTGGAAAAAGACTTGTCGTGCCAGAGCGATCACTTGAAAATCCAGGAGCAGTTACCAGGCTGCTCTCCTCTGTAGCAAAGGCCAGGATAGCACAGACAGGAAAGCTGCCACCCCGATAACCACACACCATCTAAAACTTGGTTCCGTCTCTATGGCACAGTGACAAAAGCCAGGAACGATGTAAGCTAAAATCTGAGATAAACAAGAAAGATTCTAAACAGTAGCATGAAGTCTACCCTAGCATGTTTTCTTTCCAAACGACTGTATATTCAACAGAAATGCCAGGGCCAATATAAATGCATATTTACCAAATGTTCTTGGTCTGAATCAACGCCAACCCTAAAGGAGAAAACACAAAGAGCAAATGAGATTTTGAAACCATGAAAAAAGACCTATATACAAATATATCATATCAGGCAACTACCATTCCCAACACAGAAACCATGGAAGAGTTCCAATTTCCTTAGCAACAGCTTAGATTCTAAGGCAAGCAGAGCACACTAAAGATTTGCTCACTGCAATCCCACTCACTGGGTTCAGAAACACAATATTTCTGCCCTGAAGACAAGTCTACTCTAAGCACTCAGGACAAATATCCCATCTATTGCTGAATAAGAACAACTGTGTAGATCCAAAAACAAGGCAGCCACAATGGAATTCCAGGAGGGAGGCACATGTTTTTGGACTGTGTGATTTTCATGGCAACATTCTGTTATGATGACCAAAGACAAGGGTCAATTACATTTTCTCACTGAAAAATGGATAGAAGTTACTCTTGGTTTTTTTTTTTTAATAATTTTTTAAAAATCTACTTAAATTCTTGCTTCTCATAGCCTAGGAATAAGATTCATTATGAAATTCTCATTTGGTTTAGTACTGTGCTGCTGAGAGCAAACCTGCCTTGCCTGCAATGTTGACATCCCATACCAGAACACTGGATCAAGTCCAAGTGGCTCTGCTTCCAGTCCAGTTCCCTGCTTAGGTACCTGGGAAAGCAGCAGCAGATGGCCCAAGAACTTAAGCCCCTTCAATTCGTATGAGACCTGCATAAAACTCCAGGTTCCTGGTTTCATCCTGGCTCAGTCCCAGCCACTGTGGCCATCTGGGGAGTGAACCACCAAATGCGAGATATTTCTCTTTGTCTCTCCCTTTCTCTGTCACTCTGCCTCACAAACCGGTAACAAATCTTTTTTTTTTTTTTAAGGGATGTGATGCTGTGACAAGCAAGTTAAGTCATCACCTACAACAGCAACATCCCATATCACAGTGCTGGTTCCAGTTTCAGTTGCTCCACTTTCAATCCAGCTCTCTGCCTGGGAAAGCAACCAAGGATGACCCCAGTACATAGGTCCCTATCACTATGTGGGAGACTCAAATGGAGTTTCTGGCACCTGCCTAGCCCAGTCCTGGCCATGTGGCCATTTAAGGAGTGAACCAGTGAATGGAAGAACTCTTTCCCTATCTTTTCTTCTATGTCACTTTTAAAATAAAAATTTTAAAATATAATCTAAAAAATTTTAGAAAGTTTTCTTTTACTCCTTTCTAGCCCCTACACAAAAATGCTCCTCAACTCTGTTCCTTGTTCCTCTGCTTCTCAGCTGTTTTCTCTCCTTGCCACACCAGCCGCTAAAGGCCAGGCCCTCATTCTGACTCATGCCGTCTGTTGTAGATTGTTCCCCTAGTTGCCAGGATCCCCAACAGTTACCTTCTAAGGCACAGAACTTGCTGGGTTCCTCCCCTGCAACCAATTCTGAGGACAGCTTAGCCACCACAAGACCAAGTCAACAGGCCTTTAGGAGGCACTCAAGCCTCTGCATAAACTAGGTGCCCCCTTTCACTGCAAGCCATCTTGACACCATCACTTCCCAACATTCCTGTCTATATTCCTTATAGTAGCCATAACTATCTACCCCTCTCCTCAAATCTGTCCTCCTCTGAGCCTTCATGCCTTTGGGCTGCCAGGCCCTCAGCTGACATATGCTTGCTTTTCATTTTTCTGCCCTATTTGTTTGTTAAGTTCCAAAATGTTTATGTCCCATCAAGCACTTTGTTCTTTCTGTGCTTTTGCAGCACTTTTTAGAGTCTTTTGCTATAATACTTAGTAGAGTGGAGTCATTTACCTGTCAGTCTCCCCAGAAAGACTGTGAACTCCTTGAGGGTAAAGGCCATGTCTTAATTCATCTCTGTATCCCCAGAGCCTAGCACTGTACCTGACACACAATAGGTGCTCAAATATTTATCAATTAAGTTAACTACTGTAGACAACATGGGAGGGGGGGGGGACAACGACAGTATGAGAAGCTGTACCAGCAGCATCCTAAAATACAAGCAAACCATGGCGGGGAGAGAGAAGGGAAACTAGTACCAGACCACATCTGGAAGGCATGGGAATTACAGTCAAGTACTTAAAAACAGAAGGATTTGACCAGATTTATAACCTAAAGAAAGGCCCATTTTTTTTCTTTGTTAAAATGGCCAAGAAGCTGCCTAAGGTCTTCTCAGTCACATCAAATGCTAACTGTATCTGTGCATCTCAAGTGACATCTAGTGGTCTTGCAGAGAGCGCAGAATGCTTGGATGGGACATTATTCAAAGCCAAACCAATTAACATTTATAGAGCACTTGTTATTGGCCAGGCACTGTCTTAGGCAGAGAAGATAGACAGGAATGCAACATGGCCCATGACCTCCAAGACGCTCACAGAAGAGTGGGAGAAACAGCTAGAGCATAATCCCCAGGGGCTTCTAACAGAGAGCACTGGGTTCAAATCTGTACTCTGCTGCCTCCTGGCTGTAAGAACTCAGCTAAGTTATGCAGCCCTGTGAATTATAATCCCATTACCTAGAAACTAGAGCTAACACCCACCAGAGTTGCTGTAAAGACTAGATGAGAAAGTGTACTGAAACATTTTAAGAATGTTTGATGCATTATTAACGAATACCCAATGGAAGCTCTTATAACACTATTATTGCAAGGCTGAATGAAATCAGTGTTACAACAGACCAAAAATCACATAAAGAGAAGAGTGGCTCTCAAAGAGAATGGGGGAGAGGGCAGAGCATTTGGTTCAGAGGTTAAAGCCTGGTACTACACATCCATGCCAAGTCAGAGTGCGTGGGTTCGAATCCTGGCTCTGTTGCTGACTGCAGCTTCCTGACAATGTGCACCTCTGGGCATAGCAGGTGATGTGTCAAGCAGCCAGGGCTCTGTCACCTACACGGGAGATCTGAATTGAATTCCAGGCTTCTGATTTTGACTTGATCAAATCAAGCTGCTCTGGGTATTTGGAGAGTAAAACAGTGGGTAGAAGATTTCTGTCTCCATTTTTCTCCCTCTGTTTTTGCTTTTCATATAACATGAAAACAAACAAACATACAAAAACGAGGAGAAAGGAGGCAGCACTCAGCTGTATCATCTTCCAGGCAAAGGGAAGCGTAAGAACAAAGACTGAGAAACAGAGAAGCACAAAGTCTGCACAGTATATGGAGAGCAAGCCCAATGTGGCTGCCATGAATTCTGCAGAGGGATGCAGGAGCAGCTGGTTGGTCCTTAGCCACTGACAAGCCAATGTCAATACACCCAGCGTGATCCTTTCACACTATAATCTCATATTGCCAAGGCTTTAATATCCTACAAATTTTTGAATTAATTTTCAAATCCTGAACCCTATGGCAAGGGTCCACAAATGACACCCCACGGGCACATGTGGTACCTCTCTTGTGTTTGTAAAGAAGGTTTTATCGGGAAGCAGCCACAATGCACTCATTTACATACTGCATGGCTGCTTCTGTACTAGAGTTGAACAGCTGGAATGCAGTACCTACTGCCTGCAATACCTTAAAGATTTACTATCTGGCCCTTTATGGCAAAAGTCTGCAAACCCCTGTACCCTCAGGGTCTTGCCCACTTCATCTTCTACCTACCTTTCACCCACTGTGTTACTCCAGCCCTGTGAGCTATGAGTACTGAATGGGCCTCAGGGCCTTTGCATTTTTCCCTCTGCCAGGAATCCTGTTCTTGTTTCACTGGCAACATTGTGTCATTCACATAGACGAGCTCAAACGTAATTTCTCAGAGGAATGATCCTTGCCTTCCTCAGGTGAAATACATCTCCATCCCTAGTCACTATCAAAGCAACTAATCTGTGCCGTCTCAGCAATAAAGATTCCGTATTCATTTAATCCACAATGGTGATGCACTTGCTGGTCTACTGCCTTTCTAATTAAAGCACAGTTTAGGAGAACAGGAGCCTTTTCCCTCACTACTAACACGGCCCTTGTCTAGAGCAGTTTCTTGACCTTAGCATTATGGACAGTTTGGCCCTGAAAATTATTTACAGGCAGGTGAGGAGTGAGCCTGTCCTATTTACTTTAGAATGTTTAGTAGCATCCGTGGCCTTGGCCTCTACCCACTAGATATCAATAGCAGGCCCTATTCTCAAGTAGGACAACGAAAAATGTCTCCAGATGGTACCATTGACCCCCAGGGGAACAAAACTACCCCACTGAGTTGGGACCTACAACAGTAGCCATGGATGGCTGGTATTGGCTGTGCTCAAATGATTGAATTAAAAGTTCACTTAACATGCTGTACTTGACAGCTAGCAGCTCCCTAAATCTGTACAATAACCCTAGGAGATACGTGCTAAGAAATACACATTATAGATGGGGGAACTAAAGACTTAAAAGGTGAAAGGTCACAGAAGGAGTCAGTGAAGGAGCAAGAACTCAAAGCCAAAACCGTCTACATAACTCTTAAATTCTCAGGACTTAGCATAATCCTCAAAACTGTATTAGACAAATTTCAGGGAAGAGATGGAAAACTTAAAAATGCAAGCTCTGTTGGTAGAGGGTCCCCAAGCACCAATAAAACACTGCAACACAAGAAGGAATGTAAAACTGTAAGGCAGTAACTACAATGAAGTGCCAAACGATGTTACATGGCAGGCAAGCTGGGCCAAAGTGCGTTCAGAGGTTCTGATGCAGATCCCGCGCGGGAACAGCAGGGTTTACTCCTGTGTTGTGCTTCCGGGGAAAGGCCAGGGTAACTAGGGGTACTCTGTTTGGCTTTTGTAAAGGGCAATTAGGGAAGAGAAATGTTTCCACTGAAACACAGAAGACTCTATTGAAGATTATTACCTTTCTTCAATTATTTTTAATTTTATTCTCCTTAGTTGTGTAATAGTCTTCATTCATACTGTTGAAGAAACAAAGCAGCCTATTCCTTCTAAAAAAGACTGCTGTTATTTCTTGATGCAATCTATTATAGAAGAAATTCACTGAAAGCAGAGGTTTCTTTGTCCACCATGTCATTATCTGTATCATCTTGAATAACTAAAGCCTCTGTTTCATCACTTGCAAACAGGAGTTACTGTAATTATGTAAGTAAGTTAAAAGGACTTAGAAGAATGGCCAGCACATAGTAGATGCTCAATAAATAATGCCAGATCCTCTTTGAGTTAGTATTAGGGTTATAAGAACATAATTTTTGATGTTATTTTTCTGTCATATAATAACAGCACATAAATTATAAGGAAAGGATTTCATTAGGAAAGATAAAGACAGTGACAACAGTACTCAAAGTATGATTTGAGGCTTCCTGGTCTTTAGAATAGTAAAAGAAGGACAGAATGGGAAAAAAACAGAGAAGAGATTCTATAAAATGTGAAATCCGCTTTCTCTAATGAACCTGATGTATTATGGAAGCTGGGAAGCTTTTAACAGCTACGAAGTTTCAGCCAAACACAGAACTAAAAGCTACAAAGGCTTTAGCAATATCGGCTGCCGTATCCATGGAAACAAATGTAGAACTCTTGAGATACAACACTGCTTTCAAGCTGAATACATTAACTAGCACACATCTAAGCCTAAGACCTTATGATCTCGGCCTTGTAGTTTCAGGTTAGAAGCAATGTTGACAAAGATGAGAAAGAATAATAACATCCAATTTTGATTAATGATGGAGAAAACTAGATTGTCTTATATGCTGTAAATGAAGGTAAAAATTTTTATTCAAGTTGGCAATATGGATCAAAAGCCTTAAATTTACGCAGATCATTTTAACCAAGCAATTTCACTTCTAGAAATATACTCTAAAGAACGAGCCAAACAAGGGAAGAGTAATATTTACATTTTAGAATAATCACATCGCAGATGCTAACAGCAATAATAAAGTCCTCAGATGGCAATGCTAACAGTAGAGTTATAGAAACCATACAAGTTTAACAGGGATTCATTTAAATAAAACAAGAAAAATTTATAGCCACTAAAAATAATCATGTAAAAATGTTAATATATTTACTAATGTGAATGTGCATTCTATGTCATATTGAAAAATCAGCCCACAAGAGAACCTTTAGTGCTGCTGCTTTTTGTAAAAATATATACCCAGTGCACAGCAAGTGGCATAGAAGGGTATCTCCCAAAGTGCCAGTGGGTTTTTTTTTATTATTTTGCATTTTTGCTTTTTGTACATGTCATACACTTTTTTAAAAGGAAAAATAATTTACAGTTACCAAAACTTCAGAATGCCAAAGCTTAAAAATATTCGCATGACTAAAAGAAATATAAAATGAATGCAAAGATTCAAATGAGGTTCATAGTTACCACCTACCTGATATGTAAGCATGACAGCATTGCAGTAGTGCCACCACCAAATACCCACACAGTAAAAAACACGATCAGAAGTGTGGTGCTAAACATCATCTGGCGGGCATAAGTGGCCGTGTCACGAATGGCCAGAGCAAACGCCATTGCCCCGCGGAGGCCTGCAAGGGAACCAAACAAGTATTTATCTTGTTACCAGCGCACATTTTACAAATCAGGGTGATAAATCACATTTTAAAACCTTAGCAGTATGAGAACAAATACATAATACCAGGGGACTTCAAAAATTAAAACATATATTTATTCTGGTGAGAAATTTTTGAAAACCATGTACATTTTTTCCATAATATATATTTTTATGAACTTTTTGTGTGCACTTTAAGTATATACACAGAGAATTAGATTTAAATATGATACTGGCATCAATCTCTTAACAAGTCTTTAAAATTCATTTAAAAATTAACACAAAAAACGAAATTAACATGAAATTGGCTTTTTCATACACAGGTCCGTGCAATTGGACAAGTGCATAGAGATGTGTGATCACAATCATTATCAAGACACAGAAGTCTTGTCATCTACCTCAAAATCCCTCCGTGCTACCCAGTTTTAGTCCAAACTCTCCATCACCCAATCCCCCTGGCCCTCCCCAACCCCCAAAGTTCTGGCAATAAGATTTGTTCTCTACTGTTAATAATTTCATCTTCTTGAGAATGTCATAGAAAGGGAATCATGCAGTATGTAACCTTTGGACACTGGCTTTTTTCACCATGTTGTGTGTTTCAACAGTTTGTTCTTCTCATTATGAAAAGCATTCCACGACACAGTCATCCATTGCAAGACAGAAAAGTGAGTTGTTTCCAGGTTTGGGCAATTATGAACAGGACTGCTGGACACATTCGCTTACAATGTCTTGTGTGAAAACACATTCATCTTTATCTTCTTCACTTATGTGACATATTTCTAAACCAAGAATTTAGAGCTAGCATACAAAAAATTCCCATAGGAATGGAACACTATAAAAAGAACTTTATATTCCAGGATATAGTTTCAACATTTTAAGGACTCTCATGCTAACAGTATAACATTTCAGCTTAAAATCAAACTGGTATATGAATTGTGAATGGCTTCATGGGGTAGGCAAGAGAGAAAAAGAGTAACTTACCAGCAAACATCATCATATGCTGAAAATTTGATCCAATCTTACTTCTTCTACCCAAATTAAGTAAGAGGGACAAGGGGTAAATATTAGCAGCTCTTCCCAAGAAAATAGCAATCTAAAATTATTTCTAGGTCAAGGATCATTTCTTTTCCTCAATTATATCATTTAGACTATATATTCAAGATAGTAAATGACTGTTTTAGAGAACCCCATTTTTACCAAACAGTTGCTTGCTTGCATTGTCTAACAAAGTTCTGCAACAGATTTTCTATACCCATGCTGTCCAATATGGCAAGCACTTGAAATATGGCCAGCAGGAACTGAAATTTTAATTTCTTTTCATAGTAATTAATTTAAATATGAGCAATCTTACATGGCTTGTTGCTATCAACTTGGACAACACAGGTCTAACATATGGAAAATTAATTAGAGGAAAATAAACATATTTAGAAGCAGAGCTTCTTTACCATTTTTATTAAGATTTATTCATTCATTCATTCATTCATTCATTCATTTGAAAGGCAAAGAAACAAAGAGGAAAAGAGAGAGACAGAGTGAGTTCTTCCATCCATAAGGTTACACCCCAAATGGCCACAACAGCCAGCTCCTTGCCAGGCCAAAGTCAGGAGGCAGCAGCTTCATCCTGGTCTCCCACATGGATAGGATGGGCCCAAATCAATGGAATATCTTCCACTGCCTACTCAAGAACATTAGTAGGAAGCTGGACTGGAAGTAGTCAGGACTCCAACTGGTATTCTGAGATGCCAGTATTATAAGCAGTAACAAACCTTTGGGAACTTATCTTTTGTGTATTTTTGAGGTTGACTATAATACACTGTCACCATCAGTGTTGACAGGATCAAGAAAAAGACGAACAGAACTGCCCTTTCCTTTCTCAGAACAGAGAAAATGAACACCTTCATCACATGAAAACACTGAAATTCCTGCCAACTCCAATGTCTTCTACTGAGTCTAAACTTCTGTCTACTGCACAAGAAAGGCTTCATGCAATTTCAGATTAGTTTCAACTAGAAATCTTGTTAACTATAGAGACCCCTGCTTTATATAACAATAGCTTTAATTTCAGAGTTCATAACACCGTTTCCACCTTATACCCAGAAAGGAACATAAAGAAAAATGTTTTATTAAAAATAAAACAAGGGTGGATCAACACGGTGGCAAAGCAAGCTAAATCTCTTGCTGCAATGCCGGCATTCCATGTGGGAATTGTTGTGTCTCAGCTGATCTTTTTCTGATCCAGCTCCCTACTTATGGCCCGGAAAAACAGTAGAGGATATCCCAAGTGTTTGAGGTCAAACACCCATGTGGGAGACGTAGAGGAAGCTCCTGGCTCCTGCTTTCAGACTGGCATATCTTTGGCTGTCTGAAAGAGCCAAAGGGCGCCCTCTCGCTCTCTATCTCTCTCTTCTCTCTCCTTCTCTTCTCTAACTCTTTCAAGTAAAATAAATACATTTTTTTAAGGTAGAGAAAATAGTACTGGCCTATGAAACTTTGTAAATATAAGAGTACAGTCTGTTAGGAGGAAAAAAAAAAAAAAGACTGAAGGCAAAAAAAGAGAAAAGGACTGGCACCAAGCATTATATGCTCAGCCACAAAGCTGGTTCCCATGGGAGTTCTGGTTTACAATCCTGATGCTACTATTCAAGTATCCTGGAACTTAATAATTAAGTAAATGCACAGCAGATGCAGGCAGCCAGGTTCCTCACTACTGAAATGGGAGTTTACAGATCAATAAAGGGAGGAAGCCATGTAGACATTGCTGGAAATACTGATGTGAATTCATGTTTAGCTTACAAGTGATGTATAGATGGTTACAGAGGGATATTAATAGATGTATGTATATACATGAGTTAGCATATCCATACATATTTAGTTAGTATATGCAAACAGATTTCCTTGCTCCGTCTGCCACAACGGTTCTTTGGCTTCCATCTTGGTATACCCTCAGCTCAATCATCTGGTAGAAGCTATGCGGTAACCTGCTCTATGGAAAGGCCTAAGTGGCAAAGACTAAGAACCTTCCAGCATCCACAGGAGGGAACTTAACCAATCCCAAAGTTTAAGAGGAGCCACTGACAACAGCTAACTGTATCCTCACAAAAGATCCCAGAACTAGAATCCCCCAGAGAAGCTGCTTCCGGATTTCTGACCCTCAGGAACTGCATGAGATAATCTGTCTTCAAATGCCAACTTTTAGGGTAACTTGTTACACAGGAAATTATACACTTCCTTATGCCACTTTCAGTAGACAGTTGCACCTCACACTTTACAGATAAAATAGAAGCCATCAGGATGAGCTCCCCTTACCAAGGTACCTGGCATCTCTATGTACCCTGCCCTCTCCTTGTAACAATGGAGGGGCCTATCCTCTTCGTGAAGGCCAATTCCCATTTACACATTTTGAATAACATCTCTTTCTGCCTTCTTTTCAAGCTTGTGCCATTAACTTTCCACTTTCACATATTCAGGTTTTTTTTATTCTTTCAACTGGGTTTAAAGACCCAATTTGATCATGTGAATGGAGCAGAGAGACAGGAAGAGAGCGAGTGTGCAAGCATACATCATTTCTATCTTGTACCTACTACCCTATGGCATGGGTTGTTGTTTCCAGAATCTGTCCTCTCCTCTTTTCTGGAATTTTGATCTGTCAATAATATTTGTGCAATAGGTAAAAACAAAAACAGAAGAGAAAAAAGTTGCAGGGGCTAGCACTGTGACATAGTGGGTAAAGTTTCTGCCTGTAACACTGACATCCCAAGCAGGTGTTGTTTTGTATCCCAGATGCTCCACTTCCAATCCAACACCCGGCTGATGGCCTGGGAAACACAGCAGAAGGTGTCCCAAGTGCTTGGATACCTGCCATTCATGTGGGAAGTCTGGAAGAAGCCCCTGGGTTCCTGGTTCCAGCCTGACCTACCAGTGGTCATTGCGGCTATCTGAGGAAGTAAACACACGGAAGGAAGGTTTCTCTTTTTCTTTTCCCTCCTTCTCCACCCCCACCTCCCAATTTCTTAATCTCTCTTATTCTGACTTTCAAATGAATTAAAAAACACATTTTTTTTGCAATCCTTCTCTACCTTTCTTAAAGGAAATTTTACACATTCAAATGTGTTCTTATCAGCCATGCCCACCCAGATTACATGAAAATTTCAATTAAAAATAGTTTTCTACAAAAACACATGATAAAGGATACAAATGCTCCTACTACAAATGTTGGGTTAAAGACATGGTTCTGGAAGGTGAACAGGGTCAGTCCCATGTAAGAGAAGATGAAATTCTCTGCCAAGAAATTGAGAAGCTCAAACAACTGAAATGAAATTTTAAAAGATTAGTCCAGTATGTAAATTCAGTGACATAATTAGAAAAGATAAACATTGCTAATATAATGAAACATGCATTTCAAATACATAAAGGTCATAAATATACCCAAAAATGTGTGTGATTCAAAGCAGAACAAACGTAGATGCCATTTCTAGTGCCATAGAAAAATGCCAAAATGTTCCCTTAGCTCCCCCAATCAGCTTCATGTCTCTAAACTTCCATCTTCAATAATTCTTATTCTCCTCCCCCAAACCCTGACAACTTTTCTTCTGGAATGTACTTTATGTCTTTGCCATTGGCCTAGTATAGCCTTCACCATTTCCCCCTTAATGCTACCAAAGAACCCTAACTGAAATACCTGACACCCACAATCTTCCACCCTGTCCATCCAATGAATCTCCCTAAAATGACAATTTAAAGGCACTTCCCTCTTTATAAGCTATAAAATCTCACTCACTATCCTGGCATAGAGTGCTTCAGGACAACCCTTGTATCACCAGCGATGGGATTTCATTGTTCCCATGCACCACACTCCTCCTTTAGAGAGTAAGCAGCATGACACAGGACTTGGGCATCTTCACTTTGCACTCTGTACCCTCCTCTGCCATATGCCTGTCCCCCCCCCCCCCCGCACCCACTTTGTCATTACTTTGTTAAGTATTGCTAACAACTGGTATACCAGGCTTGCTGAATTGGATGAAGTTGGAATCCGTCTGACAACCACAGTTATCTATCCCTCTTCCTCTCCCACCAGCCCTCTGCTCCACAGCCGCAGGAAGAGGAATCAGAATTTGGGCTTAGGAGTCAAAGTATCTACAATTTGAACCCTGACCTCACATATAACTGGCTACTTATATGGCTCTTTGCAAATTAAGTTTGCCTTCTTTAAAAAAATAGAAATTATTAAGTACACATTTAATTTTCTTTAAATGATTTAATATGCAATCATTACTACTTCCTTATTTAATGGTAACTTTTACGCTTTGTTCAGTTTTTACTATGTACCCAATATTATACTAAGGACTTTACCATAGGTCACCTTGCTTTAATCTCACAATGTCTCTGAGCAGTAGGTGCTATTATCATCTCCATTTAAAAAGGTGGCAAAACTGAAGCAGTTGTGTAACTTGCTTGCTGCTTCTCACACAGCCAGCAATGGTGGAATCAAGAGTTGAAACTATATGATCACTCTAGAGTCTCAGGTTTAACTCACAAAACTGGGGTTTGCAAACTCTTCCGTTGAAGGACCAGAGTGAAATATTTGAGGCTCTGTGGGCCACAGGTTTCTGCTGCAAGAATTGTGCTTGTATAGCACAAAAACAGCCACAGACCACATATATATTTCTTAAATGGAAGAGCTGTGCACTGAAGAAACCTTTTTGGTGGGCACTGGGATGTGAATTTCCTTTAACTTTCCGCAGGTGACAGAATATTCTTTTGATATTTCCCCAACCAATTAAAAAATATGCAAACCATTCTCAGCTCTCGGACTGGTGAGGGCTGGATTTGGCCTGAGTGTTGTAACTTCCCAAGCCCTACTCGAGTTACTGCGTTCGAGTTACGGCCGTCTATGTGAGCTATTTCCCCCTAGGCCTTTCCAAGTCCTTCTTAACCTTCTACACATACCATATTCTCTATGACAGGTCCCTAACTTTTCTGATGCCTTCTATGACATACAAATTGAAGCACACAGTCTAAGTTCCTATGAGTTCAGGCTTATCATGTCTACAAGCTTTCCATTACTAACAACACGGGAAGCTCTTACTCTTTTGGTTTTTATTTCCCACCCTACATCTAAAGAAATGCTGAATCATCCAGCTATTTTTCTTCTATGTAATACACTGATTTGTATGGAGGATTTGTAAGCCCAATTATATGCTTCAGGGAGAAAAAAAATCTGATCTCGTTTGAGATGTTGGGAAATCACAGGTAATTCACTATGTTGTTTCAAAAACAAAGGGAAAGAAAAAGGTATCATTGCTCCTGCTTTAGCATTGGTCATCTTGACACTAGGCTCACAATGCTCTAATCATCTGGCAAACTTAAGCTTCCAGTTTTCACTCTAAGCATAATTAGGCATTTATCTGCTTTTATTTCAGGCAGCACAATTTGTTCACGTATTTATTGCACATATGTCATAAGACCGGAAATGGGAAATTTTAAGCCTATTTCCTTTATAATTCCCTCCAGGTATCCTGCACAACTAATGTATTCCTCACTTATGAAAGCCTAACTACCTCTGCAGCCCCCGAAACGGAGCAGCTATGCAGTGCCTGAGTGGAGACAGAGGGAGGCTAATCACCTGGATGACCCAGCAGAAGGCTGAGTCAGACCAGCAGTCCATCTATCTGTATCACGCCACAGCTGTTCTAATCAAACGAACATGAGATTCCAAAACATTCTTCTTGGAAGTCATTATATAGGAAAATGCTATGAGGTAAGGAATTTAATTGACTGGTTATTGGAGTTACAATAACAATAGATCTGGCTTTTCTGCTGACTTATGTTCCTCCTAAAAGCTGACAAACTTCAACCTTCCAGCTCCACTTACTTCTAGAATCAAATAAAGAGTAGATATCACCTTAATCAGATCAAAGATTAATTTTATTTTCAAGCTATAAAGTTTCTTACCTGTTTAGTTCTGTGTTGAGACTCCGTAGACAAGTTATTGTAGGTATAATGTGCTTGTGTGATGCCACAAAACAATACTGCAACTACACCTATAAATATAATGAGTTTCACATTCAGGTAAAAGGTTGATTCCCAACTTTAATACCAAGGCTCAAACATTACAGACACAAATTACATGCTTAGTATTGAAATTTTCATTTGTGATTTCCTGTTGAGAAGAACTTCAGTAAAAATCCTTTTCACATTTTAAAGTGGCTTCCTAAATCCCAAGCATAATGAGTATGTTCAAATACTAAAGGAGTTGATCCATTTGTAGCACTGACTTGCAGAGTCACTGCTTGAAAGGGGTTATTATTAAAACGACAAAGCTGCGTACCTGTGAAGCCCCATGCTTCAGCCAAGAGGAAGGTACTCCAGGACATCAAGAAGAACAAGCCTGTCTCCAACAACTGGAACTCTCGCAATTTGGTAAACTTTGTTACGTAACATTGTTAAGGTTGACACGATACCCTGCAACACAAAAGTGTGACAAAAAAAAAAAAAAGCAAGAACAGCCTAAATGGGGCAATCACAAACAGCAAAAGCAAGGATTCTCTGGCCTGACACAAAAGTCACAGAACCAGGAGGCATCAGAGTAAAAAAAAAACTCTGAAAACGGTCGTCTTCCTGCAGTAGTCAGCCTTCCCTTCAGTGAGGCAATCTTAGAGCTTAGCCAAACCTTTCGCTTTGAGGGTGTCATTTTCAGACCTTTCCAGAAACCATACAGCAATTCTATGAATTTGCAATCCAAAGACTGCTTCTGTAATCTTAAGAATTTACATTTATGTAAACATGAACTTTCCATGAAATTTCACATTTATTTGATCCTCTACCACATCTTGTGATAAATAAAACCCATTCAATGATGAAGAAACTGAGGCATTTCATTTACTTATAGTATTCTAAAAAGCAGCTCTAGCTGAAATTTGATAGGCCTGTGCCAATGGGTGACAAATTTCAGGTCAGAATCTAGTCACCTCCAACTACACGCTACAACAAAATGAAAAATAAGATATACTTGCCATTGCTATCCTCAAGGAACCTGTAATAAGGAAGAGATACTATCTGCTCCCTCCTTCATAACTTTCACTGCCCCTTCATGTTTCAGCTGACCCATAAAAGGTCATGGAAGAAGTCTCTTCCAGAACAAAGCAGCAGTATACCAAAGAGAAAATAGAAATACTGAAAAAGTTGTTTTTTACAAAAATAACACATTTGTTTTATATAAACAAGTATCTTAAAAGTTCAAGAGCTGGGGACTAGATTTTATCTAGTGCTACTATTCTTTCCTGCTGTCTCTGCCCTCCAATTTCCTACACTTGAGATCCAGAGAAATGAAGTGTCAGCTTCTACACACCAGAAGCTCCCTGTACCAGAGGCTCCAGGGAAGCAGGAACCGCATTTGTCTTGCTTGTCTTTGGTACCCACATTCCAGAGTACACTATCTAGCATGTGGCAGACAATGAATAAATACCTTCTGAATAAATACAAGAATGACTTGCCCAATATTCCTCATAGCTCACAGTTCTTTGAGCTATAGGCTAAGTTCTTTGAGCTCCCAACCCAAAGCTCTAGAGCACAAAGGTTAACAACGGAGAAGCTGAGACGGCCTCTGATACACCCTAGCCTGCAATCCACATTTTGTTCATGCCCTATGAAACAAAAAGCAGAAGATGGCCAGGCTGATCAGCAGCATAGAATTCACAGAGTGTTTTGGGAATATACTTACTGCTATTATCAATTTAAACTAGTCTTCAAATCCACCCTCAAAGTGATACTATGTCTAATGAGTATCTTTTTTTAAAATATTTTTAGATTTTAAATTAACATGTGATGAACATTTTTGAAGGGGTACATAGCAACTTTTCAATACACACAGAAAGAGTAAACCGATCTTACCAATTCTTACCACAAACATTTCAGTACACTGGGCTCTATGCAAAGCAATAAAAATTTTTAACTTATTTACTGCTAAATATTATTGCTAATGTTTCATATCAAGTATTGGTTGGTTATATGGTTAATAATTACAGCACAATTTCCATCAAGGAACTAGGAGAAACCATAGAATACAACATTCAAGTACTTCATTAGATTCAAGAAAAGATTAGCACAAAGGATATTAAAGCTGTCACCACTCCAGTAGCAGCACCCATGGCAAAAGACCCACTGAAGATCCCAAGGAAGATCCCAATAGACTTGAACATGGCTGTGACATCAAAGGTATGACTGTTGTCTCCAGCTGGCTGGTACGCCACTATTGAGCTAAAAAAAGAGAACACTCTTACTTTTAGAAGGAACGTTTACAACATTATCTCGAGTAGAACTTGAATGACGAAATCAGAGGAAGAAAACCACTCAAAACTTTTGGGTTTGAATTGCTAAAATTGTGTCTAATGGTAGTTTTTGATTAAATAACAATTTTGGGAGACTGGTCGTTTTAAAGTTCTCTCCATGAAGGCTGAATCAAGATTTTTCCCTGTATTCTTCAGATACTGTGCCACACTATTCTTTTGTGATTCACTTAATAATTCCTGGTACTGAGTGCCTGGATGTCCCAGCATAGCAATGGAAAAAAATCATAAATATTTTCCTTGTTTCCAGAAGAGGTATAAAGATTATTAATATTGTTCAATATTCAACTTATTCACATTTTCTTTCCCTATAAGAAAAAAAGGTTAACTGAGATATTCTTTCTAACTTTCAGAATACCAGAATGGGCCATGTGCCTAATATCTATTTACTCACTCAAATAGATTCTCTAGGAAAAAGGATTCAAAAGGCCATCCAACAAAGTAGAATCTACCCAACAGTACTTTGAACATACACGGCTGGATCCTCCAGCCCAAACCTGTGAAAGTAAGTCACTCTGAAGAGGCCATGAAAGGCAATGACAGAAGACACTCTCCATTACGAGCTCCCAGTCCAAACTCTATCTGAAAACGCTTCCTTATAATGGTAAGTCTAAGAATTGGAAATGGTTGAGAAAATCGGTTGTGCCAACAGATCTTTGCCAACAGTGCTTCTGAAACCAGTTCTCATCTCAGCTCAGAAACCAGTACTATGGAATGTAACATAAAATAATAAAAAATAGGAAAATATTTTAAAAATCCACACTCAAAGACATTGCACGAGTCAAAGAAAAGGAAGAAGAAACAGTCATAAAAGATTAATGAAGCCCCTCCCTGTGTTTACTACAATGTTTTTTCTAGTTCAAAGCTTAAAAAATTGCTTTACATGCCTCCCAGATTAAAAACAAAACAAAAAAGCTAAAAGCAAATTAAAATTGCCTAATTTATTATTTATTTCTTTAAAGTATAGCAAACATAAATTCCTGGTACTGACTAGAAATTTATTTATTTTTTTTTATTGTTTTATTTTTTTAAAGATTCAGTTTTGTTGGAAGGCAGATCTGATTTATGGAGAGAAGGAAACACAAAGAGCAAGATCTTCCATCCACTGCTTCACTCCCCAGACGGTGGTAATGGCCTGAGCTGAGCCAATCCAAAGCAGCAGCCTCTTCTGGGGCTCCCATGCAGGTGCAGGGTCCCAAGGCTTTGGCCGTGCTCCACTGCTTTCCCAGGCCACAAGCAGGGAGCTGGATGGGAAGTGGAGCTGCCAGGCCAGGAACTAGTGCCCATTTGGGACCCAAATTCTTGCAAGATGAAGATTTAGCAATTAAACTACTACACCAGGCCCTTTCTTTTATTTTTTTTAAGAGAACTTAATATGCGTATGTTTATTTGTAATTGATACAGACTTGTACATCCTTATTGGGTACAGTGTACTTTTTCAGTGCATGCAATAATGACATTAATTAGTATGTCCATCATCTGAACATTTATCAGTGTTTGGAACATTCAGAATCTCATTAGCTATTCTGAGATACATAATTGTTTTCAGTGACCTCACTGGGCTACACATCATTACAAGTCACTCCTCCTAGGGCCCCAGTTTTTGGGACCCTGCATCCACATGGGCAAACTGGAAGAAGCTCCTGACTCTGAGCTTTGGACCAGCCCAGCTTCAGCTTTTAATGGCCATTTGGGGCGTGAATAAGGAGATAGAAGATTTCCTTGTAACTCTGACCTTCCACATAAAAGAAACAAATCTTAAAAAAGAAAAAAAAGTTATTCTTTCCATCCAACTGCATGCCGGTAACAATCACCAACAATGTTCTCTCCATATTCCCCTCTCTTTCCCGCTTTCCAGCCTCAAGCAACCAACATTTCTAAGAGATCAACTTTTAAAGTTTTCACACATAAAGGGAGATGTGCAGTCACTGTCTTTCTACGTTGACTTGTTATGCTTGCACAATGTCCTTCAGGTTCATCTGTGCTGCTGCAAATGATATAGCTGTGTTATTTTTTATGGTGGAGTATTATTATTATTATTAAAGATTTATTTATGGACCTGGCACAGTAGCCTAATGGCTGAGGTTTATGTACCAGCTGCTCCACTTCCATCCAGTTCCCTGCTTGTCCCCTGGGAAAGCAGTAGAGGATGGCCCAAAGCGCTGGGACCCTGCACCCACATGGCAGACCCAGAAGAAGCCCCTGGCTCCTGACTTCAGATTGGCTCAGTTTCAGCCACTGCAGCCACTTGGGGAGTGAAGCAGAAGATGGGAGATCTTTCTTTGTCTCTCCTTCTCTCTGTAACCCTGCCTTTCAAGTTATATATAAATATAGAGAGAGCATCTGGCACATGAACTGGGACCCATATGCGATCCCAGTGCAAAGTGAGGACTTCAGCCACTAGGCTACCGCACCAGGTTTGGTTGAGTATTATTCTATAGCGTACAGAGAACCACGTGTTCTTTATCTTATAGATTCTTGTGCAAATCAAGCACCTAGGTTGACTCCACACCCTGGCTATGGTGAACAGCATGGAAATACAGGGAGTTCTTCAATGTCCTGGCTTCCTTCCCTTTGGCTATATACTCACAGTGGGATTACTGGAGTATAAGGTAGTCCCACTTCTAGATTTCTGAGGAAACTCCACACTGTTTACTCCAAGGGTTGCACTAAATGACATTCCTATCAACAGTATATGAGAGTTCCGCCTTTTCCGCATCCTGGCCACCACTTGCTGTCTTTGGGTTAATAGCCAGTCTAGCCAAGGTGACAGCACATCACCCTGGCTTTGATTTTCCTTTCCCTGATTTCAGAAACGTAGTGACCATCTGCACTTCTTTTGAGATATGTTTACGTAGTTCGTTTGCTCATTTTTAATAATTAATTTTTAAATATTTATTTTATGATTCCATGATACAGTTCCATAGGCTCCAGGATTTCTCTCTCCCCCTCCCCAAATCCCTTTCCCTCCACTGATTTCCCCAATATCATTACAACAGTATAGTCCTTTACAATTGGTCAAATCTATCATTCTGCTATTTAAGTGCATCTTGACATTGTACGTATGGATAATGGTAGAAAGACCAGCATCCTATTGCCTAAATGCATCCAACAGTTTCATTGGGAATCCATCCTTGATTTGCAAGTAGAGATACACACTGCATTGTATCTTCACATCTGTATGTCATAGTCTCTACTATACAGTTACTATACTGTTATCCCGTTAAATGAAAAGCCATAAAACAAAATCAACAACTACTAGCTGTCCCATTTCAACCTGTCCTCAGAGATTTCTGATCTTTATTTTTAGTGGTTGCTGAAGGGTATAGATTCATCACTTCCTACAGCTAAAGAACGTAGGGTTTGCCTATCCTGGGTTTGGAAATCTCTAGCTTATCTAATACATTCATCTTAGAGGTCAGAGAATTTTCATTCAGTGCTAATGATATGTCCCCCACATTATCTTCATTACTCTGAGAGCTTGTTGGCTTTGTTGGAGAAAAGTTGACAGACTGCATTTATTCCTGTACATGCGCCTCAGTGTTCTCTAAGTACAAATTCCAAGGCCTGCCGGCTGTCCATGACTACCTCAGAAAGAGCATCTGTAGGCCTGAGTACACGCTGCAGAATCCGGCCTGAAGATGTGGGCAAATGACCTAAGGCAATTGTCAGTTTGATGCAGCATTGACAGTGGCCTAACAATGTGATTTGTGTGCCGAGGCCAGTCCACACACTCATGGGCTCTGGTCCCGGAGATCTGCCATGTTTGAAGCAATCATGAGGTATAAGCATGGGTTCTTTGCCAATGCCAGATAATGCCACCCCCAGAAGGTGCTGTGGCTCTGTCTGGGGTGGCCAGGGGCACTGGCTCTTTGGGCCCCCAGCACAACCAGCCCCAAGCTTTGGCTCGTGTGGGCACCAGTGACATGCAAAAATTTCTGAGACTCAATCTGAATTGAAAGCTCTAACATCTGTGCTTAAATGTTCAAAAGAAGCAGATCCTTTGTGAACCAGCCATCTGATACTGTTTTCATAAATAGGAAGAAGCTTTTAATGCCATGCTTTTTGTTGCTGCAACAGCTTGTTGCTGGCAGCATTTTTCAAAATGCTGGCTATAATAAAATATCTATGCCATGCCTCCTGAGGTTGCTTTCACTGAATCAGTTCATGTAAATTCAAGATTCACACCACTCATTGCTTTATTATTTAACCACTGTAACTTACTATTTGCAGGGAAAATATCACCCTATCATTTCACCATACTAACAGGTTGTATTTTCCTCCTGTATTTCTTCCCTCTTTGTTACATTCATTCTGTTTTATCCTCAGTTGTAGCCACAGTGTACAGTTTTAAATTCTACTTCTGACAATGATATAAAAGTCACAATAACAATGATTTTTAAGATTTAAAATGGTTCAAATGGTTACAGCATCACTAAACCAACTCTCCAATGTTAGACATTTGGAGGCTGATAGTAATATTTCTGCTACTATAAGTGACAGAGTGAACAAACATCTTTGTACTTTTTACATTTTTTAAAGATTCTCTTAATTGGGCAGTCAGATACACAGAGACGAGGAGAGACAGAGAAGAAGGTCTTCCATCTGATGATTCACTCCTCAAGTGACCTCAATGGCCTGAGCTGAGCCAATCCGAAGTCAGGAGCCAGGAGCTTCTTCTGGGTCTCCCATACAGGTGCAGGGTCCCAAGACTTTGGGCTAACCTCCACTGCTTTCCCAGGCTACAAGCAGGGAGCTGGATGGGAAGCAGGGCTGTGGGTATACGAATTGTCACCTATGTGGGATCCCAGTGTGTGCAAGGCGAGGATTTCAGCCATTAGGCTACTGTACTGGGTCCAATTTTTACCTTTTTTAAAAAATCTGTTTATTCTTCTTAGAAAGGAAGATTTACAGAGAGAAGGAAATACAGAGAGACAGACCTTCCATCCACTGGTTCATTACCCAAGCGGCTACAACAGTCAGAGCTGAACTGATCTGAAGCCAGGACCCAGGAACCAGGAGCTTCTTCTGGGTCTCCCATGTGGGTTGCAGGGTCCCAAGGCCATAGGCCATCTTCTACTGCTTCCCCACACCCTAACCAAGGAGCTGGATGGGAAGTGGAGCAGCTGAGACATGAACTGGCACCCATATAAAATCCTGGAATGTGCAAGGTGAGGATTTAGCCACTAAGCCATCACTTTGGGCCCAATTTTTACATATTTTAAGCTATTTCCTTATACTACATTACAAAATTGGACTACTATCTTAATTAGAGTTAGTTTCATAGGTCATTCAACTGGTTCTTAAAATTCAGGGCAAGTTAAGCTGCCAACAGTTCAAGTTCCAGTCGCTCCACTTCTGCTCTGACTTCCTGCAAATGTGCCTGGAGAAACAGTGAAAGATGGCCCAAATTATTGGCCCCCTGCTGACCACAGGGGAGACCTGGATAAAACTCCTAGTTCTTGGCTTGGGCCTGGCTCGGCCTGGCTCAACCTGGCCATTGCAGTCATACGTGGAATGAACCAGAAAATGCAAGATCTCTCCCTCTCTAACTCTGCCTTTCAAATAAATAAATAAATGGGTTTTTTCTTTAATAGTTATTTGGGCCAGAGATGTGGCATAGCGAGATAAGCTGTCGCCTAACAATGCTAGTATCCCACATCACAGAGCCTATTCAAGCCCCGCCTGCTCAACTTCCAATCCAGTTCCCTAATGACATGCCCGAACAAGCAGATGACTCAAGCACTTGAGTCCCTCCTAACCATGTGGCAGACCCAGATGGAGTTCCTGGATTTGGCCTGGCTTAGCCATTTAGAGAGTGGACCAGAACATAAAAGAATTCTGTCTTTCCTCTGTCACTCTGCATTTTAAGTAAATTTTAAAAATAAACAACCCCCCCAAAATAAGAAACATTCTTACTAATTCACAGAAAGTTACTCATAAATCTGCTTACTGTAATACTAGTCATAATATTAGAAAACATAATAAATATTAATAGGAGATTAGAAAGGTAAATTTATAGTGTATTCATATAATGGGATAATGCAGGTATTAAGACAATGCCACAGGTAAGAGAAAATTTCAATTTGCAGAAAACTGGATATAGTTCTATGTTTGTTTATTTCAAGCTAGTAACTATATTAATATCTTAATGGGAAAGCCTAGATGAAAACCCTAATAGTGACTATTTGTGAACTCAACTTTAAGAATTTTCCAGTTTCTGAATCAACTATTTTCGATATTCATAACACATATTTTATTATCACATATAATGGCAAAAATCATGCTTACGTAAATGCTAACAACAACATATGAGTGTCTAGTTGTATCACTCTGGTATTTCTAACTCCAACATTGACATTTGGGTGCAGAGAATTATCTCTCGGATACAGTTGAGGGAGGAGTGGCAGGTGGGAACATTGTGCTCTGAACAATGTCTGCTGGACAGCAGTAGCAATCCCCGTCCTTTCACAACAAACAGAATATCCCCAGATATGGCAATGATCCCCACAGGGATGACAACACTATAACATTATTGATAGTTACTATTGCAATTACCAATTTTGTCTTTATTAATAGCACAGATAAAAACAGCCACTTATTTTAATGCACACACCTTTGGTAAACAGTGAAACAACTTGCCAACTTTCCTTAGTCCTTATACTTTCTTTCATAAAAGCTAAATGAATGTAAAAGCAGTTTTTAAATCTGTGTGAATTTAGGTCACCAGCCTAATTATAGTATACCTATTAAATAGCATACTATGCAACCTACACCTTACTTCTAACTGGATAATATGAGAACATGTCAGCATATACAGCTCTACCTCATACAGCACTATAAGAGAGAACCAGTTTCACTTTACCCTCATGAAAAGTATTAACTTTATATTTTCAAAAAGATTGCTAATTCAACAATTTTGTAAAAAGCAGAAACATGGGCAGGCATTGTGCTGCGACAGCTTAATCTACCACCTATGACCCCGGCGTCCCATATTGCAATGCCAGTTCAAGTTCTAATCCAGCTCCCTGCTATTGTGCCTGGGAAGGCAGCGAAGGATGGTCCAAGTACTTGGGCCCCTGCACCCACATGCAAGATCCATCCAAATGAAGTTTGTGGCTCCTGGCTATTATGCAGGCATTTGGAGTACAAACTGTTTTAGCTAGACGATCTCTCTTTCACCCTCATTCTCTTTCAAATATAAATGACTAAATTTTAAAAACAAACAAGAATACGGTCTAACATAAATTTCAAAAAGAGCTGTTTAACATGTTATTTGACAAGCGAAATTCTTTCAGAAAGGGTTCTCTCCACCTTGATGCAAGACTGTTTATTTTAAAAATATGAGGGGGCTTCAAAAAGTTCATGGAAACTTTGCATTATCTTTTAATCTCATTTTGAAGCCCCCTCATACATAGTACATTATCATCAAACTAAGACCATATACTACAAAGTGGAATATTTGAATTTATTTACTTTAAACCACTCAAAGGCAGATTAATGAACACACTTTCCAGCACTCCAGCCTTCCATAGTCAGCCAGCCAACTACTTTTGCTTCAGCTTTTGGGCAGGGGCTCATTAAGATATTTACAACTGACATATTCCTGCTAGATACTTGGAGATTAGCTATCTTTGTAGTTTCATTTTTAAAATAATATTTAGGTTACAATTGCTATATGTATTTCTTCCTCCCTTTAGATAATACATAATTTTCATTTTGCACCTATAATCCACCACACCATGCTTAAGTTCAATATCAATAGGTGTTAACAGCTTTAGGTTTTATTTCTTTTAAAAAAAAATAACATCAGCTATAAATAGTTGTAAAACTTGTGAGTTTACATCTGTTTTATGCATTCATATGCATCATTTAAGGGATTATCAGCGTAACACTTCACAAAGGGTAATTCCCCACTAAGCAGGAAGGCAACAGGATCAACCAAGCTATGCAAACCAGAGTAAATGACTTACTAACCCCTTAAAGTTAACAAGGTAGAAACTACTGAGAGAATGCAAATAAAGAAAAGACGTGAAGGGCTCTTTTCTCTCACAGAAATACCTGGTATGAAGCAAAGGAAATTGTCTACAGGGAGTAGATATTTGCTTAGTAAGAATGTAGGGGGTGGTACATAGGACTGAGTTCCTCAGAGGTCCACACCTGTTCTTCCATGTGCAAACAGCTTGCAATAATTTGTATTGCAATTTCTGTAAGTTGATAAAGGCTACTACTTATTCAACAAATATCTTCAATAAAAAGTATATTAACATTTCTAAAGATTGAAATATTTTTGAAATGATTATGTTAAGTAAAAGAAAAACAAATCAACCTATAATGAGATACGTCTCAATTACCAAATTGACAAAAATACCTAAATTTAACAAATTTCATGTTGGTAAAGCTATGAGAAAACAGACACTCCCATAACCAGTGGATAAAGTGCAAAGTGGTACAACTGCTTTACAGGCAATTTAGCAAAGTTTAATAAAATGCCAAATGTATTTACCCTTCAACCCATCAATCTCACTTCTGGGAGTTTTGGCTATCCTTATACTTATGCACGTACAGAAAGAAGAAAGTTCCAGGTTAGCTATTGCAGTGTTACTTGAGACAGCAGAGAAACGAAAATCCTTCCAATATCCAACAAGGAGAGACTGAGCAAAAAATTGTAGTACAGTTTACACACAATATTCTACATAGCTGCACATAAAAAAATTCTTGATAGAAAAAAATCTTCAGAATCTACTTATATGAGAGAACACACACAGAGTATGGTACCTTAAAAACAAGAAATGGGAGGCAAAAAAGGAACAAAATATATTTGAATAAAAATGCTAGGATACATAAGAAACTAATGAAATGGTTATTTTAAGGGGATGAGGAGCAAGTGGAGGTGAATGGCAGTGAAAACATGACTTGTGACCATGTAAATATATTATCTGGTTAAAACATTAAATCCAATTTAAAAAAATAAAATGGTGATTGTCTTTTTGGAATTATACCTAGGAAATACATGAAATCTGTGTTCTTTATATTAATATTTAAAACCATATACACAAAAATATTACAGAATACAAAATTATATCAACAATCTCATTAAAATATCATGTACAAAAAAGAGTAATATATAACATTTTCCTTTTTCTTCCCTGTATTTTCCATTTACATATAAAGAATGTGTTTCATCAAGAAGAAAAAGCCTTGGCTTCCCAAATGTTTCCATTCATAACACACTCTATTCAATAACAGATTTCCCGTTCTTAGTACTCACACATTGAACATTCAAAACAATACGAAAAGAAAGCACTTACGAGGACAGCACTATGGCAACGGCATCGTTGAGGACACTTTCACCAAACAGAAGTGCATAGAGTTCAACATCAACCTGAAGCTCATGGAATATGGCAAGAACAGTCACTAGCAAGTAGAAAGAAAAATATTCAGACATTGCAAGTAATGCATATCCCCAGTCACTAGACAATTATTAAGAGTTATTTACAAAATGCATTTCTTCATCTTGGAAATTAATCCCCGAAACATTCTCTTACACCATAATAAAGAATCTGTTATTTCATGTTAATATTTTGCTTTATCCTAAGTAAGTACATGTCCCTTTTCTCTCTTTTAAAAACAGCTGAAAATAACCTAGAATGACTGAATTGGCCTAAATTCTTCATGCAATTATTAATATTTCTGTCTTGTGCATTTCTTTTCCATAAACTAAGTATTTGCTATAGGCCAGGTAATCATTAATTTTTAATGAAGATTATTATGAAAAGCATCTTCTACCATAAACATTATCTTTTCTCTTGGAACTTTACAATTTACTTCTACTTGACTTGCAAATTGTGAGCACACCAGTTTGGCAAAAAGAGCAGGAAATGAAAACACAAGTTTAATTTTTAGTTGGGGTGAAATTTATGACCAGAATTATAGCTGTTATATTTGACTGAAAGGAAAAACTATCAGGATGTTACAACTTATGAAGGAAAAAAAATAAACACAATAAGCTTTTATCTTAAAAAGCAATTACAGGGTAATTCTTACGAAATCAAATGAGACTCACAGTTGCATTATAACTAACTGCTGAGTCATATAGCTCACCCACTAAACAGATCCAAGTAGACATGAAAGATTAATATAAGCAGAGATGTGAGAGCCTTTTCCAATCTCAGCCACAAAACCAGGAAACTTGTGCTTTAAAAGATATAATTTCTTACTGCAAGGCACTGCAAATGAAACATACTGATACCAAAGCTTTCGAAGAGAAGAAAACAGGGAGGGTGAAGCAATGCTGCAGAATTCTGAAAAGATCACTCACTCACTTTTCTAAGCAAGATAACAATTGCAAAATAACAGAATTGGGACAAGTGTCTACATACAAAGAAAAAAACTTTATAGATGAAAATGATTTTTGCTTGAGTCATTTGGGCAACACTCCTACCAAAATGAAGAGAAGATTGAAGCAAAACAACCAGTCCAATTAGCTTAAGTTTCTCACAGATTTTGAAAAGTTGAAGAAGTTGATTCTAGTGTGAGAACACATAAATTTGGGACAACTTACTCCTTGCAAAACAAACAAAACAAACAAACCAAAAATCTTTACCTGTTTACTGATTGTGGGAGCAGAGCAAACAAAAAGGGGACAGCCTTGGTTGTCTCTAAGGAATAAATTAATGACTTCCAGCCTTCAAAATGTCTATGTGCACAATAAAATGGCCCTTTGACTAATCTTTAAAAACCATCTCTCATGAGTATCAAACACATTTTTCTTCTTCCCAGAGTACCCTGTGTTATCGGAGTTAACACAGGAATTTAGAGATAACCTTATGAGCCTTCCTGTAATTGTGCTTATATGACAACTAAAGAAGATGATTAACTTACAAGGTCAAAAGATAAAACAGAACAAACTACTATCAAGGTCTCGGCATAATAAAAGAAAATTTCCAACTTTAGTTCAAAAACTTTGGTCTATGTTCCTACCTTGATATCTTCATCTTACATTTTCTCCATATTCCTTACCTGAATGTAGCTCTTAACTTTACCAGTACTATTAGGAAAATTAAAACCTAACTCAGTACAAGTAAACTCATTTAAACACAACTTTCTAGAAGATCTGACACTAAAATGCACAGGGAAATAAGCTGTGCTAATATAAAAATAATGTTATAACCCTAAAACCAATATTATAAAAGCAATTCCTCAGTGTATATTAAAGGTGACCAATGATCCAAAACTCACAGCAGTGCTAACACAGCTGCCATCTATAATCACTTAAAATCTTTTTCTTTTTGCTGTTAAATGCAGACAGGTAAATACAGACACAAGACTTCAAAGGAACTGGTTTTCTAGACATTTGGATGGAAGCATACAATTTTTAGTCATTTTAATTAATTCATAATCAAGTCATCTTCTCTTATACCCAATAACTAAGGAAAGTAACCAGTTTTGTGTTGATTGTTGTGGCACAGTGAATTAAAATGATGCCTGGGAAGTCTACAACCACACTGGAGTGCCGACGCATGTCCTGACAACTCTGCTCCCCATCCAGCTTTCTGCTGATGCATCTGGGAAGGCAGCCGAAGATGGCTCAAGTGCTTGGACTCTGACACCCACGTGAGGAGTTTCTGACAGAGTTCCTAGCTCCTGGTTTCAGCTTGGCTCAGCCCTGCCTCTGGTGAGCATTTGGAAAATAAACCAATAAACAAGGCGTCTCTCTCTTCCTCTCCTTCTCTCTTTAAAATAATTTAATCTTCAAAAAGAAAAAAAAAAGAAACCAATCAAAATTTCTTATAGCCCTTGAATAAGCAAGTTGTGGACTGGTAATAAGCAAATGTAAATAAAAGTAAACTAGAAATGTACATACATACAAATAAATGTGTGTACAAGTCAAAAGGAATCATGAATTTTGGTTCTTCTGCAACTTGGAAAGTACATCACTAATCACAAATTCTGCATCTCAACAAAAGCAATGTCCAGACCTGCTTTGACTGGAAAACAATGTATCTGAAATGTTAAAGCTCCACTCATCCAAAATGTACCTGGATCAGTTGCTGACACGATGGCACCAAACAGCAGGCAATCTGTAAAGTAAAAGTCTCCTGCAAGCTGTCCAGTCGCTTTCATCAGTGTCACACAGCCATACATTATGGACCTGTCCAATAAACATATTCCAACTTCAGAAAAAGAAATCAACTGGGTTAAAGAAGTTAGAATAAGCATAGGAAGATGCAAGGTGGGTGTTTAGCCAAGCAACTAAAATGCCTGTGTCTTACAAAGGGATGCCTAGATCAGGTTCCTGGCTGAAGGAAACAGGGATGGCTGGAGTAACTGGGTTCCCATCCTAATCTCCCTGAAGTTGTGCACGTGTTGGGAGGGAACCAGCAATGCTCGCTTTCTTTTTCTGTCTTTAAATAAAAAATAATCTCAAAAGAAGAAAAATGTAGGTCTACTGTAGCATACTTTGTGACCAACCCCAACTTTAATTTATGTCATTTAAATATGATATTGCTTTGATCTTAAGGAAAATTCAAAGTACTTATAATCTACGTGAATAGAATTCACTGAAAAATCTCTTGGACATACTCAGAAATAGAATATTGCAAAAATCAAAATCACATTAGGGAAATACAAATAAAAACTACATTAAGATTCCACCTAATTGCAGTGAAAACAGCCTGCATTTGGATATTTACTACACAACACCTGCTGGCATGGATGTGGGAAGAAAGGTACCCTACTCCACTGTTGGAAGGAGTGTAGGCTAGTACAGCCACTATGGAAGTCAGTAAGGTGAATGTTCAAACAACTGAAAATGGATCTATCATATGAACCAGCTATCCACTCCGGGGGAAATATCAAAAGGAAGTAAAATCTGCATATGAGAAAGTGACTTGCAACTCTATCAGCACAATCTGCAATAGCAAAGACATAGAAACTACCCAGATGCCCATCAAAAGAGGAATGACTGCAGAAACTCTGCTACATATATTCCATGGAATACTACTCAGTCATTACAAAGAATGAAACTCTATAATTTGCAACAAAATGGTTCCGACTGTAGACTATTATACTCAGTGAAATAAGCCAATCCCAAAGGGACAAAAATCATATCTTCTCTTTGATGCAAGGCAACCATCAAGCAAAATACAGAATTAATAGATAAACATAGGCATATACACATATACGTATATACATATATATACTTGTATACATGTATTCATCTAGAGAAACTGTATAATGGAGATTAGTATATTGAGAGGTGAAAATATATTACAATATGTATCTCTACTCCCGAAAAAAAGATGAACTCCCAATGAAACTGTTAAATAAATGTCAACAATAGGATGCTGGACTTTCTACCATTGTCTATCCCTACAATGTCAGGACACAGTTAACCAGAATGCTGGGTTTGTGATTGTTGCCGAAGGACTATACTATTGTAATAATACAGGGGAAAACAGTGGGGAGATGGGGAAGGCATAAGGGGGAATCTCTAAGCCAATGAAACCATATCATGAAATATATATGTATGTGTGTGTGTATATATATACACATACACATATATACATACACATACATATGTATATATACATATATACATACACATATATAAAACACATTATTACAAAATTATGCTTTGAAGGTTAAATAGTATTTTAAGCATGAAATACTTACCCAATAACAAAACAAGAAATTGCTGTTCCAAGAAAAGCATATGCTAGAATAGAGCCAAGGTTTCGAAAGAAATGTCTCTGACAAAAACAACAAAAAAAAGTTACACTATGTTAGAATATTTATCAATTACTTGCAAAAAAAAGCTTTCTATTCTACTCTGCCATGCTAATAAAAAAAATGCATTATTCACTAAAAGAGATAAGAGAAAAATTCTTATGCAAGCATAAATTTCAGCAACTACAGAGGATAAGGGAGGAAAATCTGAAAGCAACAGCCTCTTCTGAAATGTTGGATATCCCTCAAAACCGCTGAGTTTAGGCCTGCATTGTGGCATAGCAAGTCAATTCAGTGTCTGAGACACTGGCATCCCATATGGGCACTCTGACTTTCAAATACATAAACAAACCTTATTTTAAAAAGTTCTGAATGTAACTTAAAGTTCTTCAAGGGAAATGAAATACAAAAACACTTACCCTTTTGAGACTATAGCCTGCATAAAATATGATAGGAGGAAGCAGTATGTTGAAAAATACTTCCGGATCAAAAGTAACCTGTTAAAATTATTTTAAAGGAATTTCATTAACAGATGTCATTTTGCATTATCAAATCATCATAAAGAAAAATCAGTAAATCTTAAATTGGTCAAAGGTAAAAACATTAATACAGTAACAATGTTTCTTACAGGATAACAATAAAGTATGAAATACTTTCCAAACACATAAATGAACAGTATGTGGATCAATTTAGTGATATGTATAGAAACTATGCCAACAAACTTAATAAAAATCCATAAAATAGGAAAAATCATGAACTTTGCTTTAAACAAGAGAGTTAAAACTAGTGATTTTTAAATTTAAAAGTACAGCATTGCTGTTGGCAAGAAGAAACAGATCTGTCTTGTGGGTGACATTGCTAAAGGTATACAAATTGAGCATCCCTAATTTCAAAATCTAAAATCTGAAATGCTCCAAAATTTTAAAAAATTTGAGCACCATCACAATGGCATGGGTGGAAAATTCCATGCTAAGAAACTTTATTTTACACACAAATTATTTAAAAAGTGGTATATTATCATCAGCCTTTTACATAATGTATATATGAAATAGATATGAATTTTGTTAAGAACTGGATCCCAAGATATTTATAATATCAAAGCAAATATTCTAAAATCTGAAAGCTTATTTTTTTAAAGATTTATTTTTTATTGGAAAGGCAGATACACAGAGAGGAGGAGAGACAGAGAGGAAGATCTTCTGTCTGATCATTCACTCCCCAAGTGATTGCAATGGCCAGTGCTACGCCAATCCGAAGCCAGAAGCCAGGAACCTCTTCTGGATCTCCCATACAGGTGCAGGGTCCCAAAGCTTTGGGCCTTCCTCGACTGCTTTCCCAGGCCACAAGCAGGGAGCTGGATGGGAACTGAAGCTGCCAGGATTAGAACCAGCATCCATATGGGATTCCGGCGTGTTCAAGGCAAGGACTTTAGGTGCTAGGCCACGCCACTGGGCCCAAAATCTGAAAGCTTCTAAAACACTTTTGGTAACCTAGACATCTTAGATAAAGGATATTAACCTGTATAATAATACAGTAAAAAAAAAAAATCTAAGGGCTGGCATAATGGCTTAATTAGCTAACCTTCCACCTGCAAGCTCCAGCATCCCATATGGGCACCAGTAAATATTCTGGCTGCTGCACTTCTGATGAAGCTCCCAGCTTACGGGCTGGAAAGGGAGGGAGGAGAGGATGGCCCAAATCCTTGGGATCCTGTGCACACAGAGACCTGGAAGAAGTTCCTGGTTCTTGGTATCAGATTGACTCAGCTCTAGCCACTGTGGCCATTTGGAGAGTGAACCTATAAATAAAAGATCTTTCTGTATCTCCTTCTCTCTCTAAATCTGCCTTTGTGATGAAAATATTTTTTAAAACTTCTATACAATTCAGATCTCTAACCCTGAAAATCTAATTCATCTTAAGACTTATTTGCTGCAATAATGCAGCTGTGTCCTTGTGTTCATTAAGGCCTTAGGATGTGACAGGAACACAAAGCAGCTACACACACATGCTAACATTCCCTTCGCTAGCACTTTGAAGGAACTGGAATTTTCCACAAGCGTAGAACATTCATACTGCAAAGCAAACATTAAGTTCATATGAAATTTTAAAAGCATTAAAGAGTCAGGAACATAATTAAGTAGCTTTATAAGTCATATTCTACCAATGTAGGAGACAGGAGAGGTAGAGTGAACAGCCAAGGGTGCGTGGAAACAAAGAAACATGAGCAAAGCAGCCTGAGGATCTTCAGGAGGGAAGCACCGAGGGAGCGGGCGCAAAGGAGCCCCAGCAACATCCGGGAGGCAGTATGACTGAAACCTCACCTCCTACATAAAGCTACATCAACACAACACAACAAGTGTTAAAGACCTTGAGACCGTATCAGACTATGACTCAAAAACTATTAAATTATGCTCAGTCTTGAGCATAATCGGGGCCAGTGCTGTGGCACCATGGTTTAGGCTGAAGCCTGTGATGCCAGGATCCCATATGAGCACTGGTTCTCGCTCTGGGAGCTCCATTCTGGATCCAGCTCCCTGGTAACACACCTGGGAAAGCAGCGAACAATGGTTCAGGTACTTGGGTTCCTTCAATCCTGAGCGAGAAGCAGAGGAAGCTCCGGGCTTTGGGCTGGCTCAGCCCTGACTGCTGTGGTCAGTTGGGGAGTGAACCAGTGGTTGAAATACCTCTGCCCCTGCCTCTCCCTTTCTGTAACTCTGCCTTTCAAATACATAAATAAATGTTTGAAAACTATAATCAAGGCAAGAAAAATTACAAAGAAAAATGCATGGAATAGCAGCTATTACAAATAAATTTAATATGTAAAGGTACTATAAGGATCACCTGCAAACTGAAAGAAATGTTCCTAAGTTCAGCTTAATTCAATCATGGCTACCATTTACTACAACAATTCTAAACCACACAGAATGAAACCAAAAGGGTTGTAGCACTTATCCTCAATGAGAAAAATGACAATACAGACATATTCATTTCCTGACATAATTTTAGTGGTTAACAGAGGCTTAACTCAATTTTAGAATTCAATTATTTAAAATATCATTAAAGTCCATTATTTATTTTTCCTCTGAATCACTTCATGCCAGTTAACATACTTGAAAAATTTCCAAAGAATTCCTTTCAGACATAAAACTTACCTTTCGAAGCATCTCATTATCTTGAACATTATTAAGTTCATGTGAGCTAATCTCTCCTTTCAGTGTATACTCATAAAATTTTCCACTAACATTTACCAACAAGGTAGTTGGACTTGACTGCACTTCACAGCTCAGGGTAACGTTGTTTACATCACTCGGAACATGAATACCATACCGAAGCACAAGACCCACCAAAAGACCTGGAAATAATAATAAGCATAAGTCCTTCTTGGGAACAGAGAACAATTCTTCTGTATTCTGTACACCCCTCTGGCTTGCTAATAGAAAATCCTCCCATGGCTATTTCGTGTGGTCTCTAACTAACTTTTCAACCAGTTCTAGTTTAAAGCATTACTAAATCCACACATTAAGAGCCTATTCACATAACTCAGTAGGACAGGAGGGAAAATATTCCTCAAAGTAACAGCACTGATCATTGCATTTCCAGATCAATAAAAATGATGCGGAAATACCCTCAGGGCTAGTGCTATGCAATGGGTTAAGCTGCTGCCTGTAATGTGGGCATCCCATATGGATGCCCATTCATGTCCCAATGGCTCTACTTCCTATCCAGACCCTTGTTAAAGCTCCTGGGAAAGCACTGGATAATGGATAATGACCCAAGTACTTAGGGCCCTTGCACTGACATGAGAGACCCAAAGATTCTAGCTCTTGACTTTGACCTGGCCCACTCCCAGTTATTGTGGCCATTTGGAAAGTAAACCAGCGAATGGAAGATTCTCATTCTCTCGCTCTCTCTTCGATTCTCTCTCTGTAGTTCTGTCTTTCAAATGAATAAATAAGTCTCTGTTTTTTAAAAAAAGAAAAAATACCTTTAAATTATCTAAACAAAGAATATATCCTAAGGCCGGGATGGGGAGCATCTGACCCACATAAGGCTCAAGAAATCATTGAATCTAGTCCTGCCAAGGCAACCACAGATGCAACTTGAAATTCAATGAATCTATTTAAACTAATGATGTTGCATGGCCCATAAATGATGTTATAAATATCCAAATGGCCCTTTGTCAGAAAGCTTCCCCACCCCTGCTCTAAGATGTCTGAAACTGACAGTTCAGTCATATTAGAAATGTGCTTTCAACCTAAATCCATCAATTCACAACACATATATTTCCCAAGTTTATTCCCAAAGCACATGGCTGGCCAAGTAACAACATTTAACAAATTGAAAGTCAATATCTGCAGATTGATTGAATTCTTCCACCACTACTGAAAGGTCAGACATTATTTTTAAAAGTATCTGCACCAAAGTCAAATCACAAAGTAGAGGTCCTGAATCTGGTGCTGTAAGACTTGGCTTGGAGTTTATCTGAATCATCCCACTGATATTAGGATGAAAATATGCGTAACTTTCTAAGTACTATAAAGCTAGGCTGATTAATTACTGTAACTCACTGTGATAATTCACATATTGTAAATTTCCATCTTTCTAAACTGAACAATTCAGTGGTTTTTATTATCAAAGTTGCCTATCAATCATTACTATTTAATGCCAGGACATTTTCTTTGCTCCAAAAGCCCAAAATTAATAGCAGTTCATTCACCTGTATCCTAGTCCCCAGTAACAACCAGTCTGCTTTCCTCCTCTATGGATGTGTCTATTCAAGAGATGCTATGGAACTGCAATCCTGAAACACCTGGCCTCTTGTGTCTGACTTTTTTCACTAAAAACAAGGTTTTCAACACTTGTCCACGTTGTTGCATGTATCAGAACCTCATTTCCCACCTTTTTATATAGACATTTTTTTAAAGATTTATTTTTATTGGAAAGACAGATTTACAGAGAGAATGAGAAACAGAAAGATCTTCCATCCACAGGTTCACTCCCCAGCTGACTGCAATGTCAGAACTAAGCTTATCCAAAGCTAGAAGCCAGGAGCTTCCTCCAGGTTTCCTCACAGGTGCAGGGTCCCAGGGTTTTAGGCCATCCTCTAATGTTTTCCCAGGCCACAAGCAGAGAGCTGGATAGAAAATGAAACAGCAGGAATTCAAACTGGTACCGACATGGGATATCGACACTTGAAGGCTGAAGATTAGCCAACTGAACCATCCATCATACCAGCTCCAAGATCCTCATTTTTATGGGCAAATAATATGCCTTTGAATGGATATATCTCAATTGCAAGCTGAGGCTAAATTTCTATAACCATCCTTAACTCCAAGATGCACACGATATTATTAGTGGCATTGTACCTTCCTGTCATCTTTCATTCTGACTGACCAGCTAGCCATTCTTTTAATATACGACTAGAATACTATGCTAGGTAGGCCGCCAGGGTTGGGAGACACCTGCAAGGAGTTCCCAATCCAGTTCGCAAAAATAGACCACATTGAAAAATTCATATTACAAAACACTTGTGTGGGTGTTACAAAAATAGAAAATAAATACCTAGCCAAACATGAAGTAGTGAGAATTTTTTAAGAGGAATCTTCTAAGAGGTGTCATCCGAGCAGACAGCAACAGAGAAGAAAGGCTCTATTTCAGTTAGGTGAATACCAGCACATGTGCAGTCAACAAAGCAGGAGAGCACACGGCCCATTCAGGAAATAACAACTAGTTTAGTGTGACTGGCTTATCGAGTGCAGAAGCTGATGCTTGCAAGCTAGGCAGGAGCTGAATTCTAAAAAGACTGCGTGTTGTAGAACAGAGTCTGGTCTTCATCCCCAAAGCAAGAGGGAATCATGACAACAGCAGTTTGACATCAGATTTCTATTTTCGACAGAGTAGTCTAGATTACAGAGGGTCTAAGAGACTAGATAGATGGCCAGCAAGGGAGTTCAGGCAACAAGAGCTTGGGATTTAATCTAAAACAGTAGTGACTTGAAAAGAAAACAGAGATTCTTAGAAGATATTAAATTTTAGAAAGGTTTGATGACAGAACAAGATGGGGTGGGAGGAGTAGGGAGATGCAGACAGACTTAATCAGCTTGGTAGTCAGGTAGGTAAGTTATCTTGAGCACCTAGGTGGATAGCAGGGCCATTCAATGAAGTCCAGGATGGAGGCAGAGTAACAGATTCACAGGGAAAAGGCTAAACTGACCTTTGAACATGCTCAGTTAAATGCATCTGGAATGCAGGTGCAAATAGTGTGTGGGCTCTGCAGCTCAAGGAGGGATGGTCTCCATTGGAGATATACACCTGACAGTAAAAACGGTGCAAGCCAGGTGCAGATGAGAGCACCTGAGGAGCAAATAAAATGGGAAGAGGAACACAGACACAGGGCTGGAATTGTACTCGTTCGCGGCCAAAATTAAGCGGCTGTTAGAGGAGGAAGAACTAATGGAGAAGAAGGAAAAGTTACAGGAGTAGGAAAACAGAAGCCAGTGGTGGGAAAGAATTCAGAACTGAAAGGAAAGTCTGCTTTTGATCAAGAGCAAGTGATGGAACCTATCAAATGCTGTAGCAAAATGAGGCAGTCATTAGCTGTATCATCAGGTTTGACAACAAGGAGGGCATGAGTGACGCTGACAAAGGCAGTTTCAGTGGAGTAGTTAAGGACAGAAGCCAGATCAGAGCCGGATGTGATAAAGCAGAAAACAGAGTAGATGGTCAGGAATACAGGGAGTAGAGATGAGGGATTCTTCTAGTTAATATTTAGTGTCTCTCTCTCTCTCTCTCTCTCTCTCTCTCTCTCTCACACACACACACACACACACACAAAGTGAGCAGCTATGCCTGGTGAAAACTATAATCACATACTTTAAAAATACCCTTTTTAGGGCAAACTCTGGGGTTTTCAAGATATATAATTGCTGCCTGGGTCACTCATGACTAAGACTAGGTTGAGTGTAGGTGCAAAGTGAATTTTCGGGTATTCTCAGTGACAGTGTCATGAAAGATACATGCAGGCAAGGGGACCAAGACCTAGTGGTTTGGGGGTAGTGTCCAGAAGATAATTTTAGTAAGACAGATGCAACAGCTCAATTATGAATACAGAAATGGGATATTAGTATAGAACATCACTGATCACCATATACTAGCCCACACCGAAGCTATGGATGGGGGCCTCTTTGGCAGTGTTGGGTACCATTGCCCGACTGAGTGTTGGAGTTGTGGAGTGGTCACATTTGGCAAATCGAGACACTCTCCAGCACACAAGAGCACTTGGGCTGGGGGTAGGTTCTGTGGGGTTGTGTGGGCCCAACCCTTTGGAATACAAATCCCCCGGGTTAGTTCCCAAGCTGGGGTTGCAATGGTCTAAGCTAGGTGTGACCACGACATCTGCCATCACTCATGGGTAAAGGAATCCACAACAGTCAGGGTAGGTCAAGGCAGCAGCACCCAAATGTGCATCTTTAAACAGGATGTGGGGTGGGCCGGGCTGCCACTGGAAGGGGACAGAAGGGGCAAGGCTGAACAAACCTTAACTCACAAGTAACAACAGAAATCAGGTTGGAGCACAGCTCATGCCAGGTAGGTCCTTGCACATACTGATCTGTGTGAGGCAGAGGCACTAAGCCACAGCATCCAAGGGGCCACGACAAGTGAGGGGCTCTGCCAAACAGAGACAGAACAACCACCGGCCTACACCTGCTCTATGGCAGGGCAGAGGCCCGGTTGGGGAAATAACAGGACACCCTAGCTGGGTTGAGTTTCCCACCAAGGAGCGCATGGGCTGGAACTGAGGCTACATTCTGATCAGGATACGATCGTAATCTCACTTGGCACAATTGTGGACTGGGATGGGAAGCACCAAGCCAGGCCAAATTCCAACACCATCTGGTGCTCTGGAGGACCGGGGAGGGTTGTGTGACAGACTAGGTTAGGTCTCAGCCCTTACTGAACCATGTGTGAGCTTGGTAGGGGTATGGAAGAGCCATGGCTGGGTTGAAATATCCAACAACAAGAACCAGCTTGGGTCGGAGGCCAGGCAGGAAAAGCCACTGTTCCTCCTAGGACAGCAGGCGAACTGAGTAGTGCTGGCTCATGGACCCACTGGTATGCGCGAAAACTGGCATTGGGACAGGTTCTGGTGGAGGAGCCCGGGCAACTCCTCTGGCAGGACACAGTCCCATGCAGGTAAGCGCAACAAGCACAATAGGGAACAACCCAAAACAGGCAGTGAAAATTATCCCACTGGCATACACATGGCATGGGTTGGGGGCAGACCAGCCTGAATCTGTTCACATTACCTTCTGGTGAATCCGAGCACCAGAACAGAGTGTGGGTCGAGCCAGG